ACGTAAATCCTCATAACGGGTTCTCCTTTGGTTTTACAGGTCACATGATTGATTATTTCGTGACTGGCAACGTTTAAGCTGAATTATCATCCCGTTGTTTACCTGCTCTGACTAACAGCAGACATGTTGTGATTCTTTGTGAGAAAGATGATTTAATATCTTTAAATCTAATTTGTGAAGTCACGCGCTTGATTTATTCTACAAAATCATATTTGTATCACTTTGTGCGTTGTATCGTAATGAAACTGTATTTTACTGAACTCTAAAGTATTTGTATAATTTTTTTACTCGACACGTGAAGCACAATTTGTCCTGAAGTGTTTTGCTAAGAACTTATTTTCTCTACGTAATATTCATGTAATCCTATATTTTATAGCATTTTGGTGCAACACAATATTGTATGTTAGTGGCATGAAGTTAAAAGGGGTTTTACAAAGACTAGGAGAGAGATAGTGGGGCCGGTTAAGACAAAATCACTATTACTAATGCTCAAACTTAGATTTTATTAAAGTATTAAACTTTGGTGCACAACTCAAGGTGTTCTGACACTTTTCCAAACATTTTTTTTGCCATAAAATGGGAAGAAAAAACCCCAACCTGAAACACAAAACTCCCCTCAAGCTCTTTCAGACATACATGTCGATGTCAAACTTTAATTGCACTATTTCTCATCAAGTAGTTGTTGTTTTTAACACTGGCACAATCTAGAATCATTTCATTCTGTCTGGTTTCTCTCTTGAAATGCTCCATTGTGATCCAGACTGGAGTTACATGTTACTTGGTCAAATCAAACTTAAAATCTGCAATTTGTGCCTTTTCTGGATTGGGTCTAATGGTGTGAACTACCCAAGCCGTTCTTACATGTACACTTTATATTCCTGGACCATGAATTGAGATGTTTTTACATGCTCCGAACACTGGTCACATTCACTGGAAGTGTAAGTGTGATAAGACGTTTTCATTCATTCATTCATTCACAGCTGTGTTTAGATATACTGCACACGAGACAAGCCTGTTTCTTCTGTTATGTCGAAAATGAGGTGCCTGTGAAAGTGCCAACAGACTTATTTGAATGTGTGGGCAGCGTTTTGTGTCATTATGAATAAAGCGAACTTTAACTCCAGTTTTTACAGTCTTGTCTTTCAGTAAAAGTGTCACTGAAGTATTTTTGGCTTTGTTCAAACAGGCAGCAAAAAACGTGAGGAAAAAGTCAAGCAAAAAAAAGTAACATCTCATTACTTTCCATAAAAAGTAACTAAGTAACACAATTAGTTACTTTTAACCTGTTAACTGTCACCCCCCTTTTTTTGAATTGACATGAAAATGCACATTTCGAACATAAATGGTTGTAATTCAAGAATGCTTTGGAATATAGACGTACGATTGGTCTTGTTTTAAAGAAGACATTTGGCAGATTTATGTAGAAGTGAAATAAATTAAGAAAGTGAAACAGAAAAAAAGTTATAGAAGTTTGAGTTTATGGAAATGTACAATGTAAAAAAAAATTATTATTCATATTTTATAGAAAATATATATTTTCAAAACCTGGGCGACTCTAAAACTGCAAAAAATAAATCAAAGCCAAAAATCTGAACAAGTTGTGTTTCAAATTTTAGGTTGATATCTCCAAATATGAGCTTTCAGTGAGATTTTGTTTGGGCGCAGTACCAAACATTTTCACTAGGTCACAACCAGACTCCATTACTGCCCATATAAGGGCGCCTCCATTTCCATATGTGTTTTGAGTGATATGAACCATTATTTCCACAATTTTCATACAATTTATGAAGTAGAGATCCTATTCAGAAGTAGTATGGGAAGTTTGGCAGATTTTGATATGAATTCAACCTCTAATAAACACATACAAAGAACACGCATGTGCGTCATAGCTCGCTGCCACATCACAAATGGTGAATTTATTATTTTTTTCTTTATATTTAAACAATTTTCAGACCTTTTTTTCTAAAATAAATGAATGGATGCTATCTTTTGAACTCTTGGCATGAAAACAAACTAGGTTTCTACAATTTGTTTCATGATTTTTCATGTTCATTGCTATTTCAAAATAAAGGTCTGAACACGCCTTAGGAGTATGAAAATATTCTTGTTGCAAATTGATAAATTACGGCTCCTCTGTAATTTATTTTGAAAATCAATCACCAAATATGGAAACTAGAGATTGTAAGCTTTCAAATGATATATAGTTTGTCGATATTACTTAAAGGCACACTGCGGAACTTTTTGGCCACTAGTGGCGCTCGACCTGTAACTTTCACGTCTAGCGTCCCTAGAGGCCACAAGCTCCGCAGCACTGTCGCAAAAGTCAACCGGTCCGCCTATAGACAGTGGGTCAGCTTCCCGTGTCTTTAGATCAGTGGTTCTCAATCTTGGTCCTAGGGAGCCACTGCTCTGCACATTTTATATGTCTCCTTTATCTGACACACCCACTTCAGTTAATAAAGCTCTTTCCTAACGAGCTGATGATCTGAATCAGGTGTGTTAAATGAGGGAGACATACAAACTGTGCAGAGCAGTGGCTCCCTAGGACCAGGATTGAGAACCACTGCTTTAGATTATGTGTGCTTGCAGTGTTTGAGGCGGGCAGCCTGGCCGCGGTCGATTCCCTTATAGCAGTCTGCTGAGAGAGAGCGAGCGGGGCGAGCCCCGTGGGGCTTATGGTGTGTTCACACCGAACGCGAATAGAGCGTCAAATACGCGTCTAGTTAGACGCTTGAACATTCGCTCGAGTTCAAATATTTCAACTTGCGCGGAAGACATTCGCGGCAAACGCGTCGCCCAATTCGCGTCATTCGCAACGCCTGGCGCGAATGATGCGTCTATTCGCGTCTTTGCATTGACTTTGTATGTAATCTACTCGCGGAAATAATTAAATTCGCGTTCGGTGTGAACACACCATTAGTGCTAACATGTCTGTGAGTGAATGTGGGCGCGGGACGGCGGGCACATTTACTGCACTAAAAACACCGTCGGCCTGAGCTGACTGTAAGCTATGTGTGTTGGTTTCGTTTTACAGAAACCGTGGGACATGTTGTCTGTAGTGTTTGTGGGCACTGAGTCGTGGGAACGTTCACTACATTTAATGTAGCAGCTACATTTGACATGAGTCGATTTTATTTGTTCGAGCCCTGCACTGTGGCGGGCTGTGTTTGTGTGTAGAAATGAACAATGGGCTGTGGGCATTTTATTACACTCATAACACCATCGGCTGTGGCCGGAATACCAGACAATACTACACTGCTTATATGATTTATCTGTGTCACCTTGGAAACGGCATTTGTGTGCAGGCAAGCGTTAGCATCGGTCGGGCACCCATCCTCCTCCTGTAGCTCCATAGACGTGTAACGTTAGCTCACGCCAGCGAGCGAACGCTGGACCAATGGTGATCCTCGTCCTGGCTTTTCATTTGTCACTATGCCCTTTTCTTTTTTTTAGTGTCCTCTGACAAAACCTTTGCCTTCTTCCTTGTAGCTGTTGGTTCGGCCATGACAAAAACATACAGACGGCAATCAAACGCGAGTTGAGCACTCACGTCAGAATCTGAGGAAGTTGTGGGTGGTGGGGGAAGTGACGTATGCCGTAAAGCGGTCGAATTTTGTAGTTCTTTTTGTGCTCGGGTTCCTACCCGAACCCCGAAGTTACATAGTGCTAGTAAAAGCGATACAGACACCTTCAGGCTACGGCAGACGTGTCATTCAACCTATTGTAAGTCGATGTACCATCTCAATGGGTTTTGGTAATATATTATAAAGGTTGAAAAGTTCCACAGTGTGCCTTTAAGGTTTTAACTAAGATATTATTGTTTTAAAAATATAATGGCAAACGTCCCACCTGTGGGACGGTGACAGTTAAGTTATTAAGGGAGTAAGGGCTCGTTCACACAGAACGCGTTTTTGCTTTGAAAAATGAGTGTCAGACGCGTTTTTTTAATGTTCATAAGCTACATGTTAAAGCCCAAATGCCGAGATTTTGATAGCAAGCGGCAAAAAAATGCAATCAAAGTCGTGCATGCGTCATTTTTTATGGAGTATGTACACACACGTAAATTAGGAGACGAACTTTAGTCTATAACTCCTAAACGAAATGAGATATTTTCACCAAATGTGAAAATATTTTTGTGTATTTTTGGGCACACTCTGAGGACACACAAAAAAAGAGGTGGGACTACACCACTCGTTGGTGCTATAATTGAACTAACACTATTGAACTTAGTCTGAACTTCAAAATTGACATTCAGTGTGAGTGTCTGTCTCAGTTGCTATCAGTCCATTATGACATTGGTGTACCTTAAAAAAAAAAAGGCCGTCATTTTAATTACAAAATGACAAAAAAGATCCAAAGCTGTAACTGCAGGGGTTTTAGTTTACGAACGCATTGGCATATCGTTACAAAACTCGGTATGTTTCTTCGGCACCATGCCCTGAAGGTACTCAATTTTCAGAAAAAAATTGTAATGAAATTATATTTCAAGCAATTATATCTCATTACAACTCAATATATTTATGGGTTGTCAACCTTTTTGCTCAAAATTGTCCCCAAATGTCTTTATTGCCTAATTTGTGCAGCTGGTCTGCTGCTTCGTTGTTTGCTTCTGTTGTGCTCGGCCCTGATAATTGCTGCTTGCAGCTATATTTTATATCTTTTGCTGTAGTGCGTAGGAAATATTAGTTTACATTTCCAAACACTCCTTTTGCCATTAATTGTAATAATCCAGTGAGATTTTTGTATGCACAAGGAGTCTGACAACAGCCGGTATGAGCTGATCTCACCATCATCGTGACGACGAAACTGAGACAAAACTGCGGCAACGTCTCCGAGACACTGGAAGAAACTACATTATAAAAAATAATATATCAAAAACTGTGTTCGGCAGAATAACAATTTCAGTGAAAAACCCATGATGTTTGGTCCAAAAACAGCAGATCAACCATGAAAGTCTGAATCGATGTTTAATGATTTTGAACTAGGAGATTATTTTATAGCAGCACTAATATTGCAAACAAAATATGAAGTTTATTATCAAACAGCTTTTCATTTTGTCTTCTATTAGGCAAAGCAAAAAGACACTCTCGTTCTCAGTCTACTTTGTCTTTTGTCTCTTGCGCTCTTGAAACTGTTGAGTTTTGTTCTTGATGGATTTGACAAGCAGTGATAAATTGGGGTCCATGACTTTAGAGGCGGATGAAGTCTCTGCTGTGATCTTCTTCTGTGTGGCTCTGCTCTTCAGCGTCTCCTCCTGACTCTGGTGCTCCTCCTCTCTGCGCCGCAGTTTCTCCTCTAAGATGCTCTGCGTTGCTTTGGTCTTCTTGTAGGCCGGGTCGGACGGGTCCAGGTTGTAAAGATGGGACGTGAACATAGACTGGAAGCGCGGGTCGTGAACGTCCACCTGGAGAACCATGGCAGAGTTAGTTTGATTCATTTTACAGAATCAGTTCAGAGAATCGATTCAAAACTCTGATTCAGTGAGTCACACACATGCACACAAAAAACGAATCTTTTCTCTCCTGAAAATCTAGAGCGAAAGTGATGTTTTGAGACTCTGACCTTGAAGTCGTCGTTCTCCAGTGGCGTGTCGCTCTTCAGGAGCTTCTTCCTCTTCTTCTTGCTCAGGTTCTGGTGCTCTACGATCTTGTCGTAGTTGAAATGTTTGTGCTTGTCATCTTCGTCGTCAGCCATCAGCAGCTCCATCTCAGCCTGGAGATCACGACACAGTTGGTAATCATGATACATTACCCAGAAACACACGTCGTGACAGAAACCTACCCTCCGTCTCTCCAGCTCTTCCCGTTCTTCTGGTGTCCTCTCCTCATCCTTCTTCCTGCTCTTCTTGTTCTTTTTGTTTTCCAGGGATGCTGCAATAGAATTGACCTCATGGTTTAATCTCCCTCATGTTGAAAGTGTTGAAGTGTGAGGGGAATAAAGCGCAGGCTAACCTGTCGCGCCGAGCTCCTCTGTGAAGAAGGGGTCGTTGAGGTCAACATTAGCAGGAAGTTCGTCATCACTGATCCCAGGCTCCGCCTCCAGCGCGTCCTGCACCAGAAAGACGGTGTGTGAGTGAGTCAGAGGCACAGAAATGAAGGGCAAACGGAATGATTATTTCTCAGTAACACGGTTACCTTCTTTCCTTTCCTCTTCTCTTTCTTTTTCTCCTTTTTCTTCTGCAGATATTCCTCCCACGGAGACAGTATATCTTTGCCCAACATTTTCTTCTTCACAAGCTTCTCAGTTGTTTCTTTCAGTCCTAAAAACAATCAAATAACATAAACGTTAACATACAGTATATATAATATATATATATATATATATATTTTTATAGTTTATATTTACTTTATATATATAAAAATTATTTTATATGATATATTTTGTTTACACATTTATGTACATATTATATTTACTTAAAATATATATTATATTAATAATATAATTATAAACAATTATAATATATATAATGAATACTATCAAATAAATATATATATATACATATTCTATAATTATATATATAATTATCATATATTTATTTTGTTTGTAATAGTTTATATTTACATACATACACACATACATATATAATATGTGTGTTTATATATACACAATTAAAAACATAAAAATGTCTAGTCATAAAGCATTTTTATATATGTATATATTATTATGTTCATTTTACATTATATATTTTATTCACACATTCATGTACATATTTATTATATTTACTTAAAATATATATTATAAATAATATAATTATAAACAATTATATATATATATATATTACTATATAATATTATTAAACATAAAAAAAAACTTATATATAATACTATGCTTATATATAATTAAACAATAATACATTGAGAATCGTTTTCTACAATCATTAAAACATAATTATTTTATATATTTTTTGCATTTTATTAAATGAAATATATTTATTATAATATTAATAATATAACATTAATAGGTGTAAAATAATGTAAAATATGTTCTTTTAAAAATAAAGTAATATTAAAAAATAATATAAAACATAACACTTAATCAACTTTTTAGGTGAGGAGGAGAGCATCTCTGATACCTGGTACCCATGTGATCTCCATGTCCATGGCGTCATCATTCCCCTTGTCTTTGTCCTGAATGCTCTTCAGTAGATCTCTGTATTTAGCGATCTGCTCTGCGCTCTTCTTCCCCTTACTGGCCTTCTTCTCCTCAGGAAGAGGCTGAGCCGGCTCCTCAGCTGAACATTCAAGACAACAGAACATTTCAAAGACAGCCAGACTTACAAGTTCACCTGCACAAGGAGAAAGTCCTCACTAACCTTCCGTCTGTTTCTCCTCCTCCTCCTCCTCCTCTTCTTCCTCACTGGAGGAGGCCAGGTAAGCCTTGAAGTCCATGTCCAACAGCTCGTCCTTATTGAACTTCCGGCAGAGAGCAGTGACCCGGTCATGATCCGTTTCATCCCACGTCAGCTCGACCTGATGACGCACAGCAGACGTTACTGCACACCGAGTTCAGGCGCTAGGATCTCGTGTAGTGTTCAGTGTGACAGACCTTGGCTGTGGTGGTGGCCGCCGATGTGAAGAGCTTGGGCTTGTAGGAACCGTAATCCACATCGGTCGCTCTGTCCTTCGGCTCATCGTCAAACGTCACGTCATCAGGGATGAACCTGGAAAATGACACAAACATGATGGATTTAAAAAAAAAAAATCAAGTGCTAAGTTCTTAGAAATGTAATCAGATTTGTATTCTTGATGGTTTCAGTTTTAAACAGCATTTATACGATTCTCAGCCGAGGTTTTGTTTGAGTGTCTCTGGGACCGTGAGGGACTCACCGCAGGTCGATCATGGAGCAGCTGCTCTCGTACTCGAGGCCGTCACACTCCTCGTAAATCTTCACCGCCGTTTCCACGGACTCACACTCCACCACGGCGTAGTAATACCTCAGACGCTTGAACTGATAGTCACGCACTTTCTCCCGGCAGATCCTGAAAACACATGGAAGACCTTCATCGTAAAACACTGAGCTGAACTGGTTCAAATGAGGGTTCCTCTTAATGGAAAAATATAATACTGTCCTTTAAAATCATTCAGAGTGAATATAAAAATAGAAGACATGAAATATTATCAAAAGGGTGAAAAATACAGTGATAAACAATGCCATTCAAAAGTTTGGGTGTTTTTTTAAACAACTCTCTTATACTCAAAACTATGGAAGCTTGTTTCCGCCACAGAATGAAAAATAAAAAAGTAATTGCGACTTTTTATCTCACAATTCTGACTGTTTTTTTCTCACAATTGCGAGTTTACATCTCGCAATTCTGACTTTATTTCTCAGAATTGCGAGATATAAAGTCAGAATTGATTGGTTTAAGTCGCAATTGTGTGTTGTAAAGTCAGAATTGATTGATATAAAGTCGCAATTGCGTGTTGTAAAGTCAGAATTGCGTGAAATAAAGTCGCAATTGCGTGTCATAAAGTCAGAATTGCGAGATATAAAGTCGAAATTGCGTGTTGTAAAGTCAGAATTGTGAGATATAAACTATTCTGAGAGGAAAAAAGTTAGTCTTTTATTTTTCCTTAGAATTGGCCTGATAACTCGCAATTGCGAGTTTATATCTCACAATTCTGGGAAAGATGTCAGAATTTAGAGACATAAACTCGCAATTATGTGTTATAAAGTCAGAATTGCGAGATGTAAACTCGCAATTGTGAGAAAAAAAGTCAGAATTGTGAGATAAAAAGTCAAAATTCTGTCTTTTTTTCTCGCAATTGCGACTTTATTTCTCAGAATTGCGACTTTATATCTCGCAATTGCGACTTTATTTCTCAGAATTGCGACTTTATATCTCGCAATTGCGACTTTATTTCTCACAATTCTGACTTCATATTTCGCAATTGTGAGATAAAAAGTTGCAATTATTATTATTATTTTTTAAATTCAGTGGCGGAAACAAGCTTCCATACAAAACAGTTGCATTTATATGATCAAAAATACAGTAATATTGTGAAATATTATTACAATTTAAAATAACTTTTCTATGTGAATATGTTGTAAATTGTTATTTATTCCTGTGATCAAAGCTGAATTTTCAGCATCATTACTCCAGTCTTCAGTGTCACATGATAACTTGATTAATTTCAATGAAAAATTAATTACTGACCCAAACTTCTTGAACGGCATTACAGCTAAAAGCGTTTGATCACTTTTTGTATCTATCAATGTATCATGCAACACAGCAAACACACTACTCTGATAACCATAAAAACACACAGCACTGGGTGAAAAAGTCACATTTTAATCAGACTGAAATATTTGTATAGTCCTTGAATGAATTAGAAGTATGTTTTAAATCAGTGTCCGGTATATGTAAGAGAAATTTTTTGTCTCTAAGTCTGTTTGCAATGCATTCTGGTACTGGCCTCAGTAGTGTACTGTAAACCCCAATAAGAGCGGTACCTTTGCTCCTCTGTGTCTGCGTCGGGGTCGTCCGGGAGGCCGGTGAGCTCCAGCGGACCCTGGGTCTGTTCTGCACTCATCCTCTCCTTCCCAAACTCAGACGGGTAGATCTGACAAATGCATGACAACCATTCAGACTCACAGCTGCAGCGCGAACGGAAATGATCAAGGGATTGTGGGAGGAGCCAGAGCAGGAAGAGAAGGGACCGTTACCGTTACAGACAGCACTACGCCTTCTTTGGGCTTAAACGAATTGAAGAGAGCCAGCAGATCTTTAGCTTTCAGTCTGTCCCAGTCAATGTTACAAACTGCCAACCGCTGCGAAGTCTAAACACAGAAAATAACACACGATACATGATGTATAAATACATTTTTAAAGTAACTCTTTTAATTGCATTATTAAAAAAATAATAATTTGGTGGGGAAAATGTGTTATTTTTTATTTGTATTATCAATTTTAATATAATATGTTAAATATATTACATATAACACAAAAAATATTAAATATAATTTTCATTTAATAAATATACAAATGTTCAAAAGTATGATATCAGTAAGATTTTTCTTTAAACAAAATTAATACTTTTATTTAGCAAGGATGCATTAAATTGATCAAAAGTGACAGTAAAGACTGAAAATACATTTATGATGTTACTAAAGATTTTCTATTTCACATAAATGAAGCAGCACTTTCATTTCCAGGATATGAATACTTGATATCAACAATTACATTTTCACTAGTTAAAATTATAATTATTGATATCAGTAATAATATTTCTACTAGTAACAATAGCAATTTTTGATATCAGGAATTACATTTTCTCTAGTAACAATGCTAATTCTTGACATCAACATTTACATTTTCACTAGTTAAAATGATAATTCTTGATATCAACAATTGAATTGCAACTAGTAAAAACTATAATTCTTGATATCTGTAATTGTATTTTCACTAGTGAAATGTCACCATAGGCTGCCATTCAAAATCAATTCTTGATATCAAGAATTTATTTCTTACTAGTTGAAATTCCAATTTCACATATCAGAAATACAATTCTTACTAGTAAAAACCTTTATTTTTGATATCAAGAATTCAATTGTCACTAGTTGAAATGTCTATTCTTGATATCAACAATTGAATTGCTACTAGTAACAATGTTCATTTTTTATATCAATAATTCAATTTTCACTAGTGACAATGTTAATTTCTGATATCATGAATGTGATTGTTACTAGTAAGAAAGACATTTTAGATATCTGAAATAATATTGATATCAGAAATACATTTTCAGATATCAAAAATGAAAATTTTTACTAGTAGCAATTCAGTTGTTGATATCAAGAATATACATTTAGACTAGTGATAATTTAATTATTGATATCAGGAAATCGCATTTTTACTAGTAATAATGTAATTATTGATATCAAAAATTATATTTCTACTAGTAAGAAATCAATTCTTGATATCAACAATTGATTTTGAATGGCAGTCTATGGTGACATTTCACTAGTGAAACTACAATTGTTGATATCAAGAATTACATTTTTGATATCAATAATTCAATTGTTGATATCAAGAATTTAATTGTTGATATCAAAAAATGTAATTGTTGATATCAAAAATGTAATTGTTGATATCAACAATTCATATCCTGGAAATGAATAAAAGTTAAAACGGCTTGCCATACTGCACAACTGTTTTCAACATTGATAATAATCAGAAATGTTTCTTGAGCATCAAATCATCATATTAGAGTGATTTCTGAAGGATCATGTGACACTGAAGACTGGAGGAATGATGCTGAAAATACAGCTTTGCATCACAGGAATAAATTACATTTGAAAATATATTCAAATAGAAACCAGTTATTTACAATTCTAATAATATTTCACAATATTACAGTATTTTTGATCAAATAAATGCAGCCCTGGTGAGCAGAAGAGGCTAAAAAATGTGAACGATAGTGTGTGTTATTACTAATAAAGTGTTTGGATGAAATCTCACATTGTCACCGCGTGGAGCATCTTTACACATCTCTCCCCAGTCATGCTCAATCTCCTCTTCCTCCAACTCATCGTCATCATCATCATCTTCATCAGAGCTGGTCTCAATGTTACCCTTCCCTCTGGCCAGATCAGGTCCTTTCTCGTCATCTTCATCTGACTCGCTCTCATCATCCTCATCGTCATCATCTTCACCTTCAGAAGAACCACCTTCTTCATCCTCTTCAACACCAGATCTCTCATCTTCATCTGATAAAACCAATAAAAGTGGTCTCAATCCATAAATAACATAAACGAACACCCCTCAAGTATATATATATAAACATACTTATCAAAATGACATTATGATCGATCCAAAACAAACAATATGCAAAACAAAAACAGTTACATAAATTCAATAAATCAGCAGTACCTTCTTCAAACACTCTCACTCCCTTTATCAGCGGCTCTTTGGTTTTCTTCGCTTCTTGTGACTTCAGGACCTTCTCGGCTTCTTCTTCCTCTTCAGATTCATCACTCTCATCTTCATCCTCAACCTGAGGTTCCTCTTCCGCTTTCTCTGTGTTTTCCGTCTTCTCGCCCTCCTCTTCGGAGTCAGAGAGCTTGTAGAAGCGCTTGAGGTCCTCGGTGGTCGTGTGGTTGACGGGTCGTCCGCGTTTATCCACTGTGTACTTCAGCTTGAAGCGCTGGTCGTGGAACATGGACTGGAAGCGCTCGTCGATCTTGACCTTGCGCTCTCTGTTGGGCATCTCCCAGAAGCGAGGGTCCTTTTTAACCTTGGAGAAGCGGTCGTCGCCGCTCGCAGTGTTTTTGGAAGCCATGGTGATTATTTGGAAGAACCGAGTGAAAGTATTAACCTGTGGAGAAAACACAAAAGAGGTTCACTTCTGGTTCATGTGAAACCAGAATTATTTGAATTACCTGTCAATGTATATCCATTTAAAGAAATGTCACGAAATATTTCTTACACAGACAGCCCAAAATAATGTGGTTCTTGAGTGTTTTCTTTATAGTGAAATAAACGAAATCAACTACTGATTTTAACAAGTGATGTTACAGCAAAACAAACGGACAAATAAGAAAAAATAGGGTAGAGTGGGGCTAGTTGTCAATGTTTACTGCTGTACTTATTAGTGTAGATTTATTTTTAATTTTCAATTACAGAGTATTGTATTTTATAATGTATACTTGTCAATAGGCTATATGCATGCTCTTTTTTTTTGGTTTTGTATTTATGTTTACAGTGTGTGTGTGATTTACACAGCACACATTTTGTTCCATTGTATAGGACTGTAATGACAAACTAAAACATTGAGCATGCCGTTCATTTACAGCAGAGGACACGAGACAAGAATTCGGCACAAAACGGACTCCACAACAAATAAAACAGTTATTTAAAGGCCAATACTGACCTACTGGTTTTTCGTGCGATGTCGCGTAGCTCCACACGTGTTTTCCCGTGATGCTTCACTGCTTCACTACTTCCGTGACCTCTTTGAAACCCCGCCTTCTTTTACCTACGGCGCGTCGAAAAGTTCAAAACACACCAGACGCGAGCACTGTGTGGGAAGCTGAGGAAGGGTTATTGTACTTCATTTAAAACAGTTAAAAATAATAATAATAATAATAATAATAAAGAATTTTCGTTATTTGAAATAAAATAAACATTGAAATAAAACAAAATAAAAACAACTTAAACATTTTCAGGTAGTTGCCTAAGTAATATTTTCTCGTTTTCATTTAGTTTTAATTGTACTAAAATAACTAAAACTATGACTGATATGAAAAATACATATAATAACTTTATTGACATATTTAGAAAAACTAACAGCGAAATCACAAAAACTTTAAACAAAATTGAAATACAAACCGAAAATATAAAAATTTAAATTAATTCAAAATATTAGTAAAACTACAATAGATAAGCTACTAAAATAACACTGATTTGTCTAATCGAGCTTGAAGCTGGAAATATATAAATAAACGTACAAATAAGAAAATCTTCGGTCAATTCCCTTATTCATCATCAGTTGTAAATCACAAAATATAAACACAACTTTTAAATATCATTAATATTACTATTAGCGATATTGGTATTATAACCTTTAAAGAATAAAAAAAATAGTCTGAAATAAAGTCACACTTTTTATGTGTGTCAATTGTTCTGTATATTTAGACGTTTTCCCTTTGCTTTTCATTGTCTAATAGAATAGAGTAGAATAAAACAGAATAGAATAAAACAGAACAGAACAGAATAGAATAGAATAAAATAAAATGAAATAAAATAGAATAGAATAGAATAGAATAGAATAGAATAGAATAGAATAGAAATTTTTGGTTAAACAATCGCTTTAAACTGACTCCGGTCCATGTTCCAGTCCAGTATGATGTTTGATCCATTCCACATTTCACCTCATATCTCCCTGTGGCGTGACGCGAGGCTGAGCTCTGTTTTTAGAGGCACACAGATGAAACGTATTTGAAAGTGTTATGAAATGTGTTTGAAAATGGTATGTGTTGAAATGAGAATGAATTAGGAAGCATGAATATGAGCGTGAAAATCCTCCGATGTGTGTCGAGAGGATGGAGGTGTTTCTCTTCCATGCAGGGAGGCGCGATGAACGTGTTTGACAGGAACATGAAGCGCAAACAGAAAGAATGGGCTTCATCTTTACTTGACAGCGACAAATACGATTACCTTCGAGACGAGGTGAGATAGATGAATTTCTGATACCTGTGTTTGTTTCTACGAGAAGTCAAACTGTGTGTGTGAACTTCTGCTCTCATGGATTGTGTTTTGCAGGTGGCGAGCAGAGTGGCAGACAGAGTTTATGACATCTCAAGGTCACTGTCCACATATTAAACGCATGATAAATGGATAGTTCACCCAAAAATGAAAAGTCTGTCATCATTTACTCACCCTCATGTTGTTCCAAACCTGCATGAAGTTCCTTCTTCTACTAAACACAGAAGAAGATATGTTGAAGAATGTTGGTAACCAAACAGTTGATGGGCATCATTGACTAAAATCAAGTCAATGGGTCCCATCAACCAACATTCTTCAAAATATCTTATTTTGTTCTTTCTTCTAACAGAAGGAGTAAACTTAAAGAAATAGTTCAGCCAAAAAATAAAAAAAATCAGACTTTTTTTAATGTAGTGTCGTTCCAGACCCGTTTGACTTTATTCTGTTTTGTGGCATAGAAAAGGAGATGTTGAGCAGAATGTCCGATCATCTGTTTACCGCACAATAGCAGTGAATGGGGACTGGGGTTGTTGACCTTTCAAAAAAGCACCATGAAAGTGCTCCATTTTGTGCTTTTGAGTGCTCTGTGTAATGAACAGACAAATCAATTTTTTATTGCATTTTGGGAGCTCAAGAATTCCAGTCCCCATCCACTTTCATTGCAACAGCAATGTCTAATTTTGTGTTAACCAGAACAAATGTAGTCATGTAGGTTTTGAATAACATGAGGGTGAGGAAATAACAAAATGTAAGTTTCTGATCCCCTAAATGTCATCGCAGGACTTTCCCTCTGGCTTTGGATGTAGGATGTGGGAAGAGTCACATCGCAGAGCATTTGAGTAAGGTAATGTTACAGTGAATGGCATTGTTAAAGGAAAATTAAGATTTGTCATGTTTTTTGAACTTCAAGAAAAGTTGACGAATGTTTACATTACTCTTTTCATCCAAAGTTCTGTCATGAAACTCTAGATGGCGCAGGCTAATAGGTCCTTAACTCAACCTGCTTGCAATCACATCATTCTCTATAGGGCACAGCTGATTGGTTCCTGCTGTATCAGTAGCCAATGAGCTCGCTGCTCAACATTCAAATACTTGGTCAGCGTTTGCTGTAGCAGTTTGCGGCGCGCTTTCAGAAACCCTCCACCTTCCCCAGCTCCACCTGTAAAGATTTGCTATGGGCAATTCATGTATGCTATATTGTACAGCAACAGCATAACAGAGCTATTTCGCCAAGACCAAATATATCAACATGATCATGTCCATTACTCTCCCAAACACTCAGAGAGTTGTCATGACAGAAATATAATAAAAGTGAATGGAGACTAGGGCTGTCGAGCTGCTAGTGTGCTTTATTGGTTTTGAGACACTAGAAGCTTGACATTCCCTCATCACTATGTATTTTTATTGCGTGGAAAAGAGCAGCATGAACATTCTTCAAAACATCTCCTTTTGTGTTCTTAAAAAAAAAAGTCATACAGGTTTTGGAACAACATGAAAGCAAGTAAATTATTCCTTTCTGTGTAAATTATTCTCTCTCTTCTCAGGAGGTTGTTGAACGTCTCTTCTTAACAGACGCCTCAGACTCTTCCCTGGTAAGAGATTGCACAAGTCTTTATTTCACTGATGTGATAAAGACATTTAGTGTTACTTAAAAGATTTCTATTTCAAATAAATGCTTTCACCAAAACATGTATCTTGGTTTTCACAAAAATATGAAGCAGCACAACTGTTTTTCAACATTGATAATAATCAGAAATGTTTCTTGAGCATCAAATCATCATATTAGAGTGATTTCTGAAGGATCATGTGACACTGAAGACTGGAGTAATGATGCTGCAAATTCAGCTTTGAAATGTATTCAAATAGACAACAGTTCTTTTTAAATTGTAATAATATTTCACAATATTACTGTTTTTTTAAATCAAATAAATGCAATAGAAGAATTCAAAATTTAACTTGCAGACCCCAAACTTTTCAAGACATACATTTACTTGAACCTTCTTTCTCCTCCTTGTTTTTCAGAGGAACAGGAGGGAATGTGAGATTCCTACTCACTGTGTTGTGGCAGACGAGGAGTTCCTGCCCTTTCAAGAAAACACATTTGACCTAGTGCTCAGCAGCCTGAGGTACTGTACCACCCCAGTGCATGATGGGAAATTTAAAGATGAACTCTCATTCATAAACCCGTTTTCGTCTCCTCAGTCTGCACTGGGTCAACGACCTTCCTGGAGCTTTGAGACAGGTACGAGGATCTAGGCAAGTGTGCGTTCCTGTGGTGCGCTAGTCCTAAATAAACCGAAATTCCCTCTTTTTGTCGTTCAGATCCACCATGTGTTGAAGCCGGACGGCGTGTTCATTGGAGCGATGGTTGGCGGGGAGACGCTCTACGAGCTGCGGTGCTCTCTGCAGTTAGCCGAGCTGGAGAGGGAGGGCGGGTTTGCGCCCCATATCTCACCCTACACAGCTGTCACTGACCTGGGCAACCTGCTGGGACAGGCCCGATTCAACATGCTCACTGTGGTACGAGTACTCAAATATCTCCATTCAAAGATTCAGCAACAGTAGTGGCCAAAATTGAGGTCCGACATCTTCACCCTTTATTCAAATGTTATTAAAAATGTGTTTTTGTAAGCATATTGTGTTGTTGTCAAGCTAGTTTGCCTTTTTTGCCAAATAACTTTGTCAGAACCAAGATTAGTGTTTTATTCTTCCCTCATATTTTGATGGTTTAATCAAATTGTACGGTCATTAAAAATAAATATCACCTCGGGACATCACTTTTGGCCACTCCTGTACATAATCCACAGTGCTTTATGGCAGTCACTGTTTGTGTATTGCATTTTTAAGTTTGATTTGAATTATGAGTGATTATATTGAGGCTCATTATTGTGTTGTAATCCAGGACATTGATGAAGTTCAGGTCCATTACCCTGGTATGCTGGAGGTCATGAGTGATTTACAAGGTAAACTCTGCGTCTTGTAAATTTGGTGATTTGTTGAGAATGTGTTTAACATTTATTCATCCACTTCAGGTATGGGCGAGAGCAACTGTGCGTGGAACAGGAAGTCACTCCTGCAAAGAGACACTATACTGGCGGCCGCTGCCATTTATAAAGGTGAGGCCGCGAACCGTGAACTGCACCGAACGCATGGAGGATTCACTCGAATGTAACACTAGCTATGTTTCCATCCACCTGTTTTTATGCCAGGTTTGGGATATCGCATAAAAATTGAGGCGGTCTCTTTATTACAGATATTCTCCACCAATTTATTTTCCACGGAAGTGACGATTTTGTTCTCTTGAACACATGGGATGGAAACTGTGCTTTATTCGCAAATGTTTTATACGATACTCCAATCCTGCGTTAAATTAAGTTCAAGTTAAGCTAAATTTGCATCTTTGGATGAAAACGTAACTAATATTATGTAATAATATTACTAATATTATATATTTTAAATTAACATTGTAATGACAATTAAAATGTCCATAGTATTTATTTTATTATATATTTATTATTTTAACACTTATAATTCTATGTAGAATAGTGGTTTTCAATCAGGAGGCAGAAGGATTGATGAATTAAAATTATTTAAAATAAAAATGTTTAAAAAAAAAGCCTAAATGGTTAAAAATCAGGATGTAAGACATAATCGTGTAATTCTCATGATTTTGGACAACCTATGAGGACATTTTTCAAAAGTGTGATTTATAGACCTGGAAAAGTTTAAGTCATTTATAATGAATATAATTTAGATTTGCATGATAAATTTAGTCAAGCCATAACATTTTATCGGGTAGAAAATTGATATTTAATCGGGAAGTAATGTAGATTTCACGGGTAATAAAAAGTGTAAACTATGAAGAACATTCAGTTATTGGAATTACGGAATTTTAATTATTTATAATTAGGTTATTTAGTTATATTATATCGCCACTCCTAGTTACTGTAAAAAAAAAAAAAAAAAAAAAAAAAATTAGCAGTTTTGTTATTATAGCAGAAGTATCTTGGACCTTTGCCAATGGATTCAATAAGGTTAGGAACTACTGATTTTGAACGCTAAATAATTTTATTTACCTAAATGAGATTGATGACCCTAGATATTGTGTAATTCTATTAACGTCATTTCTTTTAGAGATGTACGGCAGTGAAGACGGCTCAGTTCCAGCCACGTTTCAGATCCTCTACATGATTGGCTGGAAGCCTCATGATTCTCAGGTCTGTTGCATTTTCATTGGTCAGAATTGAACAAACAGCCAATCGCATTCCTCCAAAAGTGGACCTGTAGTCGGATTCTGATTTTGCCATCTTGTGATGAATTTACAGGCGAAACCAGCAAAACGGGGTACGGCGAATGTCTCATTCGCGGATTTATCAAAAATTGACAAACTTCAGACCGACCACCAGAACACCAATGACAAGTCCTAGGAGTCATGTTTTATCCCTCAAATCAACTTATGTGCTTTGAAGGATCTGCTTTACTTATATGAACATGATTACACTGAAATGTTGCATCAACAAACTGTAATTTTTGCACAAGCTTCCTTTGACAAATGTACTCCAACATAAATAAACCATGAATACAGTTTGCCTTACTCTCTAAAACTGAGTTACCAAATCATGTTACTCACAAATGATTACATTCAGTTTCAGAAATAAAAAAGCAAATGAAAATATTGTTTTAAAAATGTATACATCTTACACTCAGCACTCTTTTAAAGTATTCTACAGTCCAACTAGCTCAAGAAAATCCTAACGGCTAATATAGCAGTACTATCCCTTTCCTTCAAACATCATGTACAGATCAAGTGTACAATACATTTACATACACATATGGCTTTATAGTGCTGAACATAAATTCAAATTACAGCATATTCTACATTAAAAGCCCTTTAACTGCGTCCAGTGAGCCGGACAATCATTTCCAATCAAAGGTTCTGGAAGACATTGGCTCACAGTACATGTGGCATTTTGTGAGCTTTGACCTCTTAGTGGTTATTAAAACACATATCTGCTAAATGTTAGCATGAGTATAATGGATGATAATGAGTATATATGGATTGGAGCCAATCAGAGGCCTCCGTTCTCATTAATGGCAGTTACAACAAAGTAAAGCAAGTGGCGATTCATTACATGCAGCAACTTAAACATGAATCACAAGTGAATCACAAACCCAAGTAGCAGCTACAGGACGTCCTGTGTGTCCACAGAAAAAGGCTTCATGGTCCTCGATGTAAACACAAGATGTTTGAAGCAGGTTATGGTGACCATCAGTTGTCATGTTAACACGTTTCATTTTCTTTGATGCATTTTAAAGCTCAATTACAGCCGACAAGGCACTAACTAAACTATTTACATCTACTTTGGATCCTTTCAATCTTTTCTTATTCCTCCTTCACCTGATTTCCAACTTTCCTGAGTGTGTTCATGAGAATATACGAGTGAATCCAGGGCATATTTCACCTCAAAAAAAAAAAAAAAAAAAAAAGCTGATTTTTTTATTTATTAGGATTGTTTCCATTATGATATTATTTACATGACAATATGAAGAAAAAAAAAATATATTATTTAAAGTGATTGTAAAGTATGGTAGCATTGGTTGTATTTTTTTAAAGGAAAAAATATTTTAGTAATTTTTAACGTGAATACAGTAAACAAATTCGGAATCACCCTAGAATAACAAACTACAAAAAAAACCTCAAAAGTAAAAACGTGCTTAATTGTCATGCAAATAATATCACAATGGTTTTTTTTTTTTTTAAATGGAGAATATAATTCCTTATTTTTTTCCCTTTTAATTTTAGGGTAAAATATCTTTCTTCGTTTGTGAGTGAATCAGTTTGTATTTATGTGTGTGTGTGTGTGTATCAGAGAGCTGCATAAAGTGCAAGTAAATTAGTGTTTATGTGTTTTATTGGTGTGTGTGTGTGTGTGAGTGTGTCAGCCCGTCCCGTGACTGCTGTAGTCGAACACTCCCTTCTTAAAGAAAGGAGAGATGTCGCACACGGCGTGTTTGGAGAGTTGTAATCCACACTCGTCCGTTCTCAGAGGAGAGGAGGAGGATGATGTCATCATCACATGGAAGAAGTTCCGCAGGTATTGCTGGGAAAACACAATGGCATCTTAGATTAGATTAGAAAAACACCTTCTCATTCAAAGGTGAATGACAGTAAACACATCCGATTACCTCCAACTGATTCCGGCGCTCCGCAATCATTCTTTCGTCTCTGTTTCCAAAAATCTTTTTGGGAGGGAAGGCCAAAGCCGCGAGCTAGAACAAGACATTCACGAATTAAAATATATCTAATATGTCATAGTTGGGTGATTCACACGAAAACACTGCAAGATTATATTTAAATAATTTATAGGAATGATAACTTTTTTTTAAATATAAATATTTACAATAATGCTAAAAGAATCAAATTTGACAGGTTACATGAATAAATTTGATCTAAAAATCAATTTAATCTTTTGCATTTATCCAGAACAACCTGTAATGCATTAAGCTTATTGCATGAAAATAATGCATAAATAAATATAAATAAATGTATGGTCCTAAAAATGTGTTTAACTTTTCTTTAAGCATAATATTGAATTATTTTGGGGTTGAAATGCATTTATTTCAAATACAAATAAAAATAATCATAAAAAATGTACAAGTTACATACATAAATTTGATCTGAAATGAATTTAATCTTTTATGTTTATGCATTTATCCAAAGCAACTTATGTATTCCAGGCAGGGCTAGCCAGTAACTTTTTTGCTCACCAGCCACTGTGGTTAGTGTCTAAGTCTAAAGTTATTAGCCACTCGGCATTTTCACTGGCCACAATTTTGACATCGATTTGACAAAAGCTGCCATTTAGATATTTTTTATATTATCTCATAATGTGGCAGCAGGTTTATTAGGATGCTGTCACTTTAAGACCTGACGCACGGATCCATTATACTGTTACACATGCGTTTTCTTTCTCAATTGTTTACATTCACTTAAAACATAACTGACTGTGTTTACATGAATACTCGCCAAGACCGGCATTTTGACTTTATTTTGTGTGTACTTGACTGTTTAAGCGCAATACGCAACGAAAAATAACTCGATTTAATGCTGAGAGGCGGCTTTATGTGCGTGCACTTTGGGTGAGAGCACAACATCTGTGGGAATGAGTAAAATTATGCGCAATACGTGCATTCACACGCCGATATTCAAGCCCTGTAACGCCAACAATATTCATCTGGAGCAAATGAAACGAGTGAGTGAGTGGAGGCGGGTTTGTGTGTCACTCGCTGTCGGAGAGATGAGAGCGAGAGAAAGTGTAGCTGGTATCGTGTATCTGTTTTGTGGAAAATTAGTATTACAGTTTTTCTCAACACTATTGCTTAAACACTATAACCAGGCTTTTGAACTAAAATTTCAAAACCATAATGCCATTTATCAAAAAGCACACCCATTTCACTGAACTATGAACACTATTCCCCTGTTTTGACACATTAGTCAGATTTGTTGAACTGTCACAGCAAAACTCTACACACAAATGCCTACACCACGTGGTCATTTAGAAAGCACTAGCATTCAAAATTGTTCACTCAAGCCAGCTCAGCTTCAGCTCAGTTAGCACACAATTACCCAGGTGAAAACACTAAGAGTCAAAATTGAACACACATCAGTCATATCCTTCAATAGATAGATAAAAGGTTATACAATCTTTCATAAAAGATAAAAATCAGTTTACTGAGTTTTGGAACAATGGATCCACAGAGAAATTAAGCAATATGTCGAGGAGGGAGAGGATGAGGATGAGGAGGAAAAGGAGGAGGAAGAGGATGAGGAGGAGGAAGAGGAGGAGGAATAGGAAGAGGAGGAGGAATAGGAGGAGGAAGAGGATGAGGAGGAGGAGAAGGAGGAGGAGGAAGGGCAAGGGCAAGGGCAAGAAGACAAGCAGTCTCGGATGAAATTCAAGCCACTTTAGTTGGCCATGTCCTTGTCCATGGTATGAGGGAGGCTGGGCAACGAGTACAGCCAAATTTGAGTCGCTTCACCGTCGCCTCCATCATCAGAACCTTCAGGGAGGTGTGGTGGCAAACACATTTCTATCACTGAATAAGAGACAAACATTTCCAATTGTCTTTGATGAGGTTTATGTTCTTGCAAGAAAAGGCCAGCAGTCGTACAGTCACACAGAGCGGCTGCAGAGTGTGACAGTGAAGGGAGGGCATCCTTTCTCCTTTATAGTCTTGACTCCCAGAATGTTATCTTTCTAGGCCAATGATGGTGTTTCAACCATATGTGGAACATTCTTAGACTTGTTCATCATATTGTATCCTTGAGTGGAGGCATGTACCAACACTCTTTACCATTCCAATACAATTCCAGATTTGAATAAGGTTTGTGTGTGCTCTTTTGCTGTCATATGATGCTCACACACATCTTACGTAAGAGTAAGAGAGAGTAAAAAAAAAAAGATGGGGGGAGGGAGGGCGGGGGACCACAAGCAACATGACTTACCAGTTTTGGAAATGTTGTTTTGAATTTATAGCACCAGTGTGTAAGACTATGTTGTAGTGTGTGTATTTTTGAGGGCTTGTGTGTCCTGTCTGAGGGGAAAGTTTGGTTTTTCAGCAAGAGTGAATGGTTTTGAGTGTAGAGCTTCATTTTGACCTGAAAATAGGATGTTTGGGGAATTGGGTGAGACGTTATGGATTTGTGTTTACTGTTTTGAGAATACGAGGCATAGTTTTAAGAAATGTGTTTAAGCAATCGAGAAAAACTGTAAAAGCGTTTCAGATATTTCAGTATGGATATGTATTGAAAAATCAATATTTTTTGACAACACTACACTGCACTTTTTTATTTCAGATGCCTTTTTAAAAGACTACAATTGAAAAATGTATATATTATATATAAAATTCAACCCGCCAAAGTGGCCATAGGAGTGACTGCGCTAAATCCACCCACATTTGGCAGCTGCTAATGTCAAGCCCAGATTCCAGGTTTGTATTTCATCAGTACGTGCACTCTCTGGGAATCAAACCCATAACCCTTCCGTTGCTAGCGTCATGCTCTGCTTATTGTGTCACATGTTTCCATGTGTACATGTAGGTCTTACCTCTGGATATTTCAGCTTCAGAGACTTGTGCATCTCCCGAAAACGACTGTATCTTCTAAACACCGTCCACGTTTCATCCAGAACTGTGATCTGAACACAGACGCAAAACACTGAGTCATCAAAGATTTTCATGTGGAGATTTTTTTATTCAGTGGAGGTCGCCTGATGGTCAATTCGACAATTCTCATAGATAATGCACTGACTGAGACTGTATAAAACGCAGACAAACCTTGACCTCAAACTCGAAGTGTTCGTCTTTGCCTTGTCCGCACAGGACGTGACGTGGAATACTGATCTTCACGGGATCTTTGAGATTCTCTGGACTCGGATCCAGGGGAATCGACACCAGTCGCTGTGGAAAGACGGCCAGTGGCGGTCAGAAAACATGCTGATGAAATATCATTCCCTAAACACGTACAGTAAGATCATACCTCATATTTCAGTTTGCGTGGATCCAAGCGTTTTTTATCGTTGTCCTGAGAGATTGAAATTTGAGTTTATTAGGGTCACAAAATTACACACACATAACTCAACGGAGCTGATTTCAGGGGTCAAGCAAGTACTTGTTTGTCATTTCGTACGAATAGCTATGTTTCCATACAGTGTTGCAAATTTAACGTGGAATTAAAGTGGAATATCGCTTCTGGGAGGGAATTAAACCAAATCATCGTGACGACAGACTTTGGCTCAGGGATTTCAGAACGAACAAACCAACATCTGAGATGCTGTCCAGTTATCCAATCACATCCTCTGTTGAGGCAAAGTCACATGAGTTTTTTGTTGCGCATCGAAGGATTTAAAAAAAAAAAGAGTTCACTTCTTATTGGATAATTATTTTTTATCCGGCTCAATTGAGCACATACGTTTTTTATGCCCATTTTTAGTAGCATACGCATCTTGGCATTTCCATCCAGTGTTTTAATGCAATATCCCAAAATTCCCATAAAAATAGATGGATGGAATCAGTGAATGTGATTTAACCAAGTAGAACATGTTCTTGGATCAACATCTTTGTTGATCCTGGAAAAAGATTCCAATCAACCAATCAGATTTGAGGGATAGGTCTACAGTTTGTGTCAAGTTTAGGCTTACAACCAGGGTTAGGTGCTTCTACATCAGTGTTATTCACCTATCATTTCCCTCTGATTTTAAGAAATAAGTTATGGGTAGGGTTAGGACTAGGAAACATGTTGATCTAGGAACATGTCTAGGAAGAGTGAGATAACAAAAAAAAAATCATTGCATCGACACAAGAAATCGGTGGGCAAGGCTGCATGCTCCCAAAGTGGAAAACCGCAGAGGAAAGACCCAAGATTGTGAGCAATATGCAAATTATTAAGGCTGGATCATGCAAATCACAGTCCACTCAGCTGGTGCTGATTGGCTGAGGCCTGTGCTTACCTCATCCGTCAATCTAACAGAGCTACCGTCACTATCCTGCTCCTCCTCCTGTAGAGTTAAACAACTGTGTTGGTGCCAAAAACATTGTCTTTTGTGCATGACTAGGGAGACATTCAACTATTTTCCCACAATGTGTGCCTGCACAGAAATCTCAAATTAAAAGCTTTGGCTAATTTGATTGTTATTCCCTTTTAATAAGTTTGCAAAGTCACAAATCTGTTTTTTGCGTTGTCATTATGGTTTATGGAGTGTAGATTGATGTGAAGAAAATAAAAGAAAGTTATTTAAAGTAGTTTAACATAAGGCAGCAACATAACAAAATGTGAAAAAAAATGAAGGTGAACAAATACTTTTGCAAGGCACTGTATACACACATACACTCACCTAAAGGATTATTAGGAACACCCGTTCAATTTCTCATTAATGCAATTATCTAATCAACCAATCACATGGCAGTTGCTTCAATGCATTTAGGGGTGTGGTCCTGGTCAAGGCAATCTCCTGAACTCCAAACTGAATGTCAGAATGGGAAAGAAAGGTGATTTAAGCAATTTTGAGCGTGGCATGGTTGTTGGTGCCAGACGGGCCAGTCTGAGTATTTCACAATCTGCTCAGTTACTGGGATTTTCACGCACAACCATTTCTAGGGTTTACAAAGAATGGTGTGAAAAGGGAAAAACATCCAGTATGCGGCAGTCCTGTGGGCGAAAATGCCTTGTTGATGCTAGAGGTCAGAGGAGAATGGGCCGACTGATTCAAGCTGATAGAAGAGCAACTTTGACTGAAATAACCACTCGTTACAACCGAGGTATGCAGCAAAGCATTTGTGAAGCCACAACACGCACAACCTTGAGGCGGATGGGCTACAACAGCAGAAGACCCCACCGGGTACCACTCATCTCCACTACAAATAGGAAAAAGAGGCTACAATTTGCAAGAGCACACCAAAATTGGACAGTTGAAGACTGGAAAAATGTTGCCTGGTCTGATGAGTCTCGATTTCTGTTGAGACATTCAGATGGTAGAGTCAGAATTTGGTGTAAACAGAATGAGAACATGGATCCATCATGCCTTGTTACCACTGTGCAGGCTGGTGGTGGTGGTGTAATGGTGTGGGGGATGTTTTCTTGGCACACTTTAGGCCCCTTAGTGCCAATTAGGCATCGTTTAAAAGCCACGGCCTACCTGAGCATTGTTTCTGACCATGTCCATCCCTTTATGGCCACCATGTACCCATCCGCTGATGGCTACTTCCAGCAGGATAATGCACCATGTCACAAAGCTCGAATTATTTCAAATTGGTTTCTTGAACATGACAATGAGTTCACTGTACTTAAATGGCCCCCACAGTCACCAGATCTCAACCCAATAGAGCATCTTTGGGATGTGGTGGAACAGGAGCTTCGTGCCCTGGATGTGCATCCCACAAATCTCCATCAACTGCAAGATGCTATCCTATCAATATGGGCCAACATTTCTAAAGAATGCTTTCAGCACCTTGTTGAATCAATGCCACGTAGAATTAAGGCAGTTCTGAAGGCGAAAGAGGGTCAAACACAATATTAGTATGGTGTTCCTAATAATCCTTTAGGTGAGTGTATATATATTAGTGCGTGCATAATTATTAGGCAATCCGATGTACCAATATTTTTTTCTTTTTTTTTCAAGCACAGTTTACCAAATTTCAAACCACATCAAATTTAATAACTATTCTTATTTTTGTATATAATCATTGTTAACGTTGATATATAATTGTTAACGATGGCCGGAAGCGGGAAAAAAATATTTTTTCAAGAAAAAATGGGCTAAAAAAAGAGATTTAACACACTGAAAAGTCAAAAATGATTAAATGCAATACTAATAGAAATTGAAAAATTAAAGTGTGACCATAGGACAAGAAATGCTCATTGGGGTAACAGGCTCACACACAAAAAAAAAGAAGACGAGACGAATGTTGACTGCAAAAGACTTTCTGGTGGTTTCACACTTAATTCCTAGTCTCCAGACTATAGCTGTTGCAGTTTAAAGTGTGACTGTGGGAGCTGTAGTCATATACCTGCAGTGAGTCTGAGGACAGCGAGAGTGTGTTATTGTTCTCTCTGTTCAGCAGGTTCAGTTTCTGCAGCCTCCGCTGGACCTCTTCTTCAATATACGCGTTTATCCTGAAGGAGAAACGAGTCATTAAAGGAACAGTCCAGTCATTACTTGGCCAAATCACAAGCGAGCGGTAAAGCTGTCCAGCATGTTGCGTGTTGGAGAGCACTGAGCAGCGTGCGCACCTCTCGTCTCCTACAGAGAGAACGCTGGGGAGGGTCTGTATGGGGCTGACGGGCGACTGGCTCACATTGTTCTTTTCCTCTCCGCTCACGCTTAGACTCCGCACACTTCCTTCACTCTCACTGATCCTCTGCTTTAGCTGGGCAATCTCTCGCTCCATCCTGAGAAACATCCACAATAAAATCAGAAGGACAAGAGCTCTGGATTCATCAGATTCATTTCTAGAGACCCCTGGGGGCCGCAAGGGGGTCCTAGGGTTCGGGTTTGTTTTTATTTATTAAGTACATTTTTTGAGGCTGTTATAGTTCATGTCTGCACTTAAAATCTTAATTAAATATTACATGCTTAGCGGGATTATTTTTAGCATAGCGTGGCATCCTGCTTTCTAAAGACCGGTCGGAAATTCGTTAATTTATTCATTATTAAGACATTAATTATGATTATTTTACTTTTATTTTTTCAGTATTCTAAATATTTACTTTTTGGGGGGAAATTCAAGTGCCAATTTCAGAAGCACTTGTCAATTTAATAAAAGTAAATATTTTCCAGACAATATTTTAATAATTTATTTTAGTATACCGACTATGTAAAAGCTAATTATATATATTTTTTGGAAAATACCATGTATACATTTGATGTATACACACAAAAAAATTTGGGGTCGGTACAATTTTAAATACTTTTAAAAGAATTCTCTTCTGCTAACCATGGCTGCGCTTATTTGATTAAAAATACAACAAAAATCAGTTATAGTATTAAATATTATTCCAGTGTAAATCAGCTGTTTTCTGTGTGAATATATAGTAAAGTGTAATTTATTCCTGTGATCAAAGCTGAATTTTCAGCATCACCAGTGTCAGTGTCTTCAGTGTCAAATGATCCTTCACAAATCAGTATAATATGAGGATTTGATGCTCAAGAAACATTTATTATTATTATCAATGTTGAAACAGTTGTTGGTCTGTCAGTTGTACAGTTTTTTTTTTTTTTTTTAGGATTCTTTGATGAATAGGAAGTTCAAAAGAACAGCATTTGTTTGAAATAGAATCTTTTGTAACATTATAAATGTCTTTACTGTCACTTTCGATCAAATTAAGTATTGATTTCTTTCCTCCAAAAAATAAAAAATAAAATTCTCACTGACCCCAAACTTTTGAACGGTAGTGTATATATATATAAATAATAAATATAAACATATATTGCCTTGATGCTTATGGGAGGTTTATATTCATGTGAATTTATTGGAATAATTATGCATTTATGTTTGTATTTGTGAGGATTTATGTTTTATGTGAGTGGTCTGGCATGACAATGTTCTAAACGGGATTAATAAAGTTTTTACCATTACCTTAATCGTGTTCTTACACAGTATAATTTAATATTCTTTCTAAACTTCTTCTTCTATAAATGGATTTTTATACATAAAAATATACAGCTCAGCTTTACATTTATGAACAGGTTCCCACAAGAGGATCATCGTATTAGAGGGTCCTTCGCATCACAAAGTTTTAAAAAGGAAAACCCCAGTGCTAGTGTGCTCCTAAAAAAACAAGCCCACACCTGTCCTGGTCCAGGTCTTGTGTTCCTGTAAACCTGGACGTGCTCTGTCCCAGTGCGGACTGTGACCTCTTGCGGGGCCCTTCAGGGTCCGGCTCCAGGCTGAGGCTCCTGCGATAGGCCGAGTGTTTCCGCTCCAGACGCGCGACCGCCTGCTCCAGAGCCTCCCGCTGCTGTTTCTCCCTCCACTCCAGGATCTCCTTCTCCTTCCTGCGAACCTTCTCCTCCTGTCGGGCCACGTTTGCAGTGAACTCGTACGACTGCTGCAGCTGCTGCAACTGCTCCGCGCTCGCGCTGTACTGAGACAAGCGCTCCTCCTTCTCCTCCAGCTCCTTCTCAACCTGAGAAAGATAAAGGACAGTTTTTGAGATGCTGCTACTAAAACAAGTTCTTAAGGTGAAAAAAAATCTTGGGTTTAAATAAGTTAAACAAGTCTCTGATATTCTGGTATCCAGATATTGCTCAACTTCCTCCTTCAATGTAAGTCTACAGGAATTGTAACTCTCATTTTATATCTAGCCAGATGAAAATCATATGTCTGGTCACTGTATAAAAAAATAAAAATAAAATAAAAATAAAAACACTTCTAAACCACCTGCATGATTTGAGGTATTATCATTCATGTCTGTACTAGAGGAGTTTGCTCAAATGCCATGCTGGGATTTGTAGGAAAACTAGAATGATGACTCAAATGATTTGGTGAATCAGTTTTTTTGGAACTGATTCATTTCAAATGAAGTTGCGTTTTGCCACACTGACAAAAATCACGGACAAACTGGACCGTTTTGAAAACACCTGAACTTCTGTCACGTTTCTAAATTCACAAAAAGATTTCAGCAATATTAGTGTTATTTTTGTATCATTTATATACTATTATAGTATTTAATATTTTGAATTAGCTTTTCTTTTTTATATTTTCAGTTTTCATTTAAATTTTAGTTTTGAGTCATTTTGAGCTTTTGTTACTTTTATTAGTTTTTAATATTTCTATTTAGCTTGATTTTTATTTCAGTTTTAATAATTTTAGTACTTCAACTTCAACCAAGACAACTTTTCAAAATTTCATAAAAGTTTAAAGCTAGGGTAGGCAACTTTCGGAGAAGGCTAGCAATTAGCGAGTTAGCTTTGAAAGCATGCGATCCCACCCTCCCTTCAGAGCGCCTCCAAAGCCCCGCCTCCTTCAAAACACATACAGCCAGAGCAAAAGCGTCACGAGAGTCGGCGTTAAACTACTTCATGTCTCAAAGCAAATAACATTACAATAATAATGAATAAACAACCTGTACCACCTGACTGCTGCAGATTCATTTCAGCATTGATAGTGTTGACATAAATTCGAGTCATGAACTGATCTGAGTGTAACATCACAGGTTTCCATCTCTTCCAAATTACAGCAGTTATGGTGTGAACGCAGCATGAGCTGGTTGTTTTGGTTCAGGAGGAACTGTAAAAGGCGGCTGCTGTTTTGTTTGCGCTGCTCAGTGACTGACGTCTGTCTAATTCGGCATGAAACACACTGATGACGTGTGATATGAGGAGGTGTGGAAATACATACGCTGACAGGCAGGTAGGACATCGTTTCATTGCATTCAGACCTAATTCAATGATTGAACGAACATTTTATGGTCCTACTCTTCCACAGACGATATATATATATATATATATATATATATATATACATTTAGACCACTTAACTTGGACTTACTTAGACCACTTATCCTGATTGCTATCAGGATGTGGACTTTCAACAAAAAAAGTTTCTGGAACAAATCACCTATATCCAGTCTTTAAGTTTTTAAAAAATGTTCTGGCCGAGTAGCGTCAGGATGAGACCGAGTTTTGAGAGTGTTACCTGATACAGAGTCTCGTCCAGTTCTTTGTCCATTTCTTCTGAACTTCTGTCCAAACCAGGAGAGCCTGTTCCCCCTCTCGCTCTCTCCAGGAGCTCGCTGGCTCTCTGGCGCTCCTCTGAGACAGCAGGGAGCTGTTTCTCACGGAGAGATAGGAGCTGTCTCTCTTTAAACTGCAGCCTGTGTTCGGCCTGCTGGATCAGAGCCTCCTCCTGACCCAAAGAGGACACGTCCTGAACGCCACGCTCCATCACGTCACGGACCTGCAAAGCAGAGAACAGGATGAGACACAGCGAATCGCCAGATTCCAGTCCATTTAAAATTTCATATTGATTTGATTTATTTAATTTATTTTATTTTTTGGTCATAAAGTTCTATTTACTCACAAGCATCTGCTAATGCTTTAAATTATTCACTTTTTCAGACTGATTCAAACAGGTAACTCGTCTTATTGAACTATTTATTATGACTCACATATATTAGTAATTTGTTTCAGGAATAGGGCTACAAGAGAGTAAAAGAGTCATTTGTTTGAGAACTGGCCTACACAGGTCACACTATTTCAAGTAAATAAAAAAATTCAGAAAATTAAATTACTAACATTACCATATTAATGTTGCCATATTAAACAGTATTTAAGTGCCACACTATTATCCCAATAGTTAAAGGGTTAGTTAGTTAGTGTCCCTCTCATTAGGCAGCAACGTCATTGCAACTTTCAAGGCCCAGAAAGGTAGTAAAGACGTCATTAAAAGGTCCATGTGACTACAGTGGTTCAGTGAAAATTCTGTCTTCAATAATAAGCCTACGTTCTGACATAACCAGGAAGCGCTGCAGTTCACACTACGTCAACAGTGTAGGAGAATAACATGGAAGAGAAGAGATTGTTGAATAAAGTTGTTATTTAGGGGGTTTTGCGCACAAAAAGTAATCTCGTCGCTTCATAACATTAAGGTTAAACCACTGTAGTCACATGGACAATTTGAACAATATCATTAATAACTTTATGGGTCTTGAAAGTTGCAATGACGTTGCTGCTTATGGGTGGTTCAGAAACCTCTCGGATTTCATCAAAAAGTCTTACGGGTTTGGAACGTGAGTAATTAATGACAGAATTATAATTTTGGGTGAACTAACCCTTTAAAGACAACACTCTAGATAATAAACAATTAAACACGACCCCAAATAACATGCTTGTTCGAATCTGTTTTCAGTGAGCTTTTGAGATACGGACAGCTCTACCTGTCTCTGTTTGTCCTTGTGCGCGTGCAGCAACAGGCCGAGAGACGTGCGCTCATTGGCCACCTCCCGTTCCAGTCGGTCCTCCAGCTGGATCAGCGACTCCTCCAGCAAAGCCAGCTCCTCCACCTGCGTCTGCTTGAAATGCTGATAGCCTGCCTGCGCGCTCCTGCGGGCCTCCTCCCCGCTCTCCTCCTCCTCTCCATCGATGCGCGCCTCCTTCGCTCTGAGCAGCTCCTCCTTGAGCTCGGTGAGCGTGCGCCTCTCCTCCTCCAGTCGCCGAGCTTCATCGGGAGTGAGCAGGACGGACGCCTCCTCGCTGCGCTCCCTCAGCTGCTCCTCCAGACGCCCCACCAGACTCAGCTGCTCCTTCTCACGCTCCTCAAGACGCCTGGAAGACATTCAGTCCGACACGCTTTCAAAAGTAGGCACTCCATATTATATTTTTTTTTAAAAATCCAAATTTAAATACATTTTTAAATGTATGATATCTTTATAATATAACATTTCCAATATAACTTTAGAATGATTATAACTTTAACAAATAAAAGTAACGACAAATAATTAAATAACACGCACATAATTATTATTTTTTATAAATAACTTAATTTAATTGAATAATTTATACTAATAATATTATGTGATACTAATATTACTGTGTATATACATTTTAAAAGAATATGATTATACTTATAATAGTTTTATTAGTTAAATTTACTTTTACATAACACTACATTTATATATATATATATATTAGTGCTGTCAAACGATTCAAATATTTAATCGCGATTAATCGCATTAATGTCATAGTTAACTCGCGATTAATCGCACATTTTTATCTATTCTAAATATCTCTTGATTTCTTTTTGTCCCATTATTTTTTCTCATTTTAACGCTCTTATCAACATGGACAAGTGGATCGGCTTGCTTTGTGCAAATGTTTTTTTATTGAAAACAACATGGGCATATACTGTGTTCAATTTCACACTAACATTCTCACTTGGAGCAAATAATCTCTCACACAATGTAACACTGTCCATCAATAAAAGGGTGAAAGAAATACTGACGAGGTCCTGATATTGACGAGGGGGCGGAGAATTCGCATCAGCTGTGTGTGTGTGTGTGTGTGTGTGTGTGTGCTTGGCCATCATCAAGTGGTATTTCAGACTGGACGTGCTGCGATGATGATAGCTCAGTTCACAACGACAAAACACACAGATCACTTTGGTCTTGTCAATGGAACCATTTGGCAACTTTTTAAAAGTAAACTTTCCATTCAGAATCTTATTGGCGTCCATTTCGGCGTCTCGCGCTTGTCATCCACTCAAAACGTAACGTTAACCAACTATTTGGCTGGCTCGCAAGCCCAAACAAGTGTGTGTGGCGTGCCTGTTGTTTTGTTTCCGGTCTAGCTAGATCCGCTTGCGTTTTGGTCGACGAAGCAACAAAACGTCCTCGCGCGGCCCAAGCCATTGAAATTAATCAATTGAAACCGCGCATGCCGCGTCCTGTTGCAAAAGCATGTGAAAAAAACTACAAAGTTTGCTAGGCCAAAAAGACCGTTAATCACGCGATAAATAAATTAACGCCGTTAAAATGGGTTTGCGTTAACGCCGTTAATAACGCGTTTAACTGACAGCCCTAATATATATATATATATATATATTTAAATGTAGTGTTATGTAAAAGTAAATATACTAGTTTTATTGGTGTGTACTGTATATATATATATACAGCGGGGGAAATAAGTATTGAACACGTCACTATTTTTCTCAGTAAATATATTTCCAAAGGTGCTACTGACATGAAATTTTCACCAGATGTTGATAACAACACAATGAATCAGTACATACAAAGAAACCAAAACAAATAAGCTCAGAAATTAAGTTATGTGTAATAATGTGAAATGACACAGGGAAAAAGTATTGAACACATGAAGAAAGGGAGGTGCAAAAAGGCATGGAAAGCCAAGACAACAGCTTAAAACTATTAGTAATTAAAAAGCAATCCAACCCCCTGTCCGTGCACATTAATAACAGCTGGTTCAGTCCCAACGGATGGCCTACAAAAAGGTCTCATTGCCAAGGTGTCACACAAGACACATCTCATGATGGGTAAAAGCAAAGAGCTGTCTCAAGACCTTCGCAACCTAATTGTTCCAACACATAATGATGGCATTGGTTATAGGCACCATTCTAAGCTTCTGAATGTTCCAGTGAGCGCTGTTGGGGCCATAATACGGAAGTGGAAAGACAATCATTTCACCATAAATTTGCCTCAACCACTGCTCCTCGCAAGATTTCTGATAGAGGAGTTAAAAGAATAATCAGAAGAGTTGTCCAAGAGCTAAGGATCACTTGTGGAGAGCTTCAAAAAGACCTGCAGATAGCAGGTACTGTGTTCTCAAAGAAAACAGTAAGTAATGCACTCCACCACCATGGCCCGTATGCACGCTCACCACGCAAGACTCCATTACTGAAGAAAAAAAGCATGTTGAAGCTCGTTTAAAGTTTGCTGCACAACATTTGGAAAAGCCAGGGAAATACTGGGAGAATTTAGTGTGGTCACATGAGAGCAAAATTGAATTGTTTGGATGCCATAATACACACCATGTTTGGAGGAGAAATGGCACTGCACATTACCCTAAAAACGCCATACACCTTGGTGTTAGCTCTTGGACAACTCTTCTGATTATTCTTTTCACTCCTCTATCTGAAATCTTGCGAGGAGCAGTGGTTGAGGCAAATTTATGGTGAAATGATTGTCTTTCCACTTCCGTATTATGGCCCCAACAGCGCTCACTGGAACATTCAGAAGCTTAGAATGGTGCCTATAACCAATGCCATCATTATGTTTTGGAACAATTAGGTTGCGAAGGTCTTGAGACAGCTCTTTGCTTTTACCCATCATGAGATGTGTCTTGTGTGACACCTTGGCAATGAGACCTTTTTGTAGGCCATCCGTTGGGACTGAACCAGCTGTTATTAATGTGCACGGACAGGGGGTTGGATTGCTTTTTAATTACTAATAGTTTTAAGCTGTTGTCTTGGCTTTCCATGCCTTTTTGCACCTCCCTTTCTTCATGTGTTCAATACTTTTTCCCTGTGTCATTTCATATTATTACACATAACTTAATTTCTGAGCTTATTTGTTTTGGTTTCTTTGTATGTACTGATTCATTGGGTTGTTATCAACATCTGGTGAAAATTTCATGTCAGTAGCACCTTTGGAAATATATTTACTGAGAAAAATGGTGACGTGTTCAATACTTATTTCCCCCGCTGTATATATATATATATATATATATATATATATAATTAAATAAAATTTTATTTTTAAATTACTATTATTAATTTAATTATTTAATGTATTATAATAATTCAATAAAATAATTTATTCTACTAATATTATTATTAGTTTTATTTTTGTAAAGTAAAAAAAAAAGAAAAAAAAAGATTTACATTTTTAAATAATTAAAAACAAAACTTTTCTGCAATTTAGTTCGGATTGCTTTCACCTTTTCACAGACTAGTTGAATAATTAAAAATAGATAAACAGATAAAAGTGTTTTTCTTTTTCACCTGCGTTCTAGCTTAAGTTTGACGGCCTGCTCCTCCCGCTCTCTTTTGAGCCGCTCCAGCTCACGGAAGAGCTCGGTTTGTTCTGCTTGCTCTCGCTGGCCCTGAGTCTTGTCCTCCTCCTCCTCCAGATCTTCCTCCTGCACCTCCTTCTCCTCCAGCTTCTGCTTCGGTTGTAATCTCCTCTGCTTCTGCTGTTCCTGCTCCTTCTGCTCTCTGTGTCTCTCCTCCTGAACAAAACAGACATTAGCATTATAGCATATAAAGAAGTCTGCCTTGACATTCAAAAGAGGGTTTATAAGAAAGCATCGTTTCGATTTAAACTCTTGTCTGAGGTGAATTTTGGCTCTTAGTGTGGAAATGGCTCGGCAAAAACGTACCCAAGTACAAATTAATGCGTTTATGTGTTGCCTTGTGGAGAAATAACTGTTATGATTTTATCAGCAGGAAGAACAGAAGAATTCCATCATTATGGCAATAAAATATGTTTGGTTTGAGTTTGGTTCCAAAACGCGATAAACGCCATTTAAAAAAAAAATTAGTTACTGCAAAAATCAGTATTGTATCTGGTTGGTATTGAAAAGTCAATGTTTAATTTTAAGTAAAATGCGATATTGTTATGTTTTCTCCCTTTCTTTCCAAACCGCGACAAACGCCAGTCTCCCTTCTCTGCAGAATGCGATATATCCGCTCTCAACCAATCACAATGCACCATTCCACGCAATGTAAACAGTAACGGCAGCGCCTTAAATACACCCGGCTTCCTAGTTTTTCTTATCTATTTTGTACTTTTCGATCAACAAACAAACAAAAAAATGAATAATTTTGCCGGCATTGATGAACCTGTGGTTGTTTCTGCGGTGGGTTAGAAACGTAAGGCATCGAAATCGAATCATTTACGTGAGAAGATTAAGAAGATGAGGCACTCGGGAGGAGGAAAAATGTTTTCAATCGTCTTTACAGTTCTTAATAAAAATATTCTACTAATAAACTTACGTTGTTGTGTTTTTTCAACAGTTTCAATATGAAAAAAAAAAAACCTTTTATATTGATTCAATGGATTATTTGCATTTTGATTAAAAAAAGAAAGAAAATGGATTTATTGCATTTTGGGGAAAAAAATAATCCGTTTTTATAATAAATCTTTGAAAATCAAAACCTGGATTTAATTTTTTTTTTGGTTATTATGACCTACAAATGCTATGTGAAAGTTTGAAACAGAAAATAGTGGTTTTCATCTTTCCACTTTCTTGGTAAAGAAAACACATTTTTACTCAAATTAATCTAAATGGATTTATTGCGTTTTGGAACCAAACTCTTCATATTGTCTTGTTATTAAAATTGACAACCTAAACAGCAGTCTGACCTGGAATCGCTCTTTCTCAGCGATCAAGTCCCTGAGGCGGCTCTCGATGTCCTGACTGCGTCTGCGCAGACTCTCCTCCTGTCTGCGTATGCGCAGCTGCACCTGCTCGGACTCCTTCCTCTGAGACGCCACCTCCTGCTGCATGCGCTCAAGCTCCGCCTTCTCACACTTCTGCTTCTCCTCCATCTCTTTTATCAGCCGCCTGAACCAAAAAAACAAAGGGAAGGATGGTGATTGGACAGACCAAAGGGCCCAAAAATAAAAATTTAACATAAATATATATTACATATCCATAAAACTGTATTTTGCATGATTTTTGGTAGAATTTGCAAAGTATATACCTTGAGATTCCGCTATATATCACTGTAGATGTATTGATGCAGCTCGATTTGGTAATTTGGAAACACTTTCTCATTTGTTAACATATTTTTACAGCATTTTGTTAATGTTAGTTAAAGTCCCCCTGCAGTCAATAATTGTATCCCTTAAAATCACCAAAATGACATATTTAAAATGTTTTTCCTTAAAATAGCTCGAATGTAACTCTTCACCCTTGCCTCATTTAATATACGCGTTTCTATAAATATGCAAATGAGCCCCGCCTCCACTCACTCACTCCAGCTCAGAGATCCACTCGTTGACGATCACACGTTGATCTGATTGGTTACAAGGTAGTGTGTGATGTCAGAAACACCAGCGCTTTCAAACCGTGTTTTTGAGACTGTCTTTGGTTCACTGCAGTTTTAAGGAGAGAATACTCAGCAATGCTGTCGACTTATGAATTTACACATGATTTGTCTTAAAACTTATTAAAAAACACCACATAGAAATATAAACAACCTTAAAAGCTTGATTTTCAAAACAGGGGGACTTTTATAAAAATACAATTTGTTCATGTTAGTTCACAATACAGTAAACTAATGTTATCAGGTAAAACGTTTGATTTTAAATATACCGTATATTACTAAATGCAGAAATTAACATTAACTAAGATTAATAAATGCCGTAGAAGTATTGCTTCTTGTTAGTTCGTGTTAACTAAAGTAGTAAACTAATGATAACAAAAACATTATTGTAAAACGTTACCGATAATTTTGTGTTTTTGCATACGCTAATTTGGATAAAATGCTAGACTAACTGTAAATTAGTGGGCAGGACTGCTTTATGTCAATTACGATTCGTGTTTTGCATATATTAATATTTGATAAGTCACAAGACGCACCTTTTAGTTTCCAGTTTTTCCAGTTCTTCTCTTTGCTGCCTCTCAAACTCCAGTCTGGAACATTTAAGAGATAATTAGTTTCCACCCTTAGAACACACACACACACACACACACACACACACACACACACACACACACACACACACACACACACACACACACACACACCACAGCAAACTCACACCAGCACATGGGATGAGGGTCTGCATTATTATGAACATCCATCAGTCACATTGCATGCGCTGCAACTATAAGCACATGCTGCAGAATACACAACTTAAAATAAAGAGATGGAGACACACGTTCAACTAAAGTATTATGAAGATGATGATGTGCTCCTCACAAGCATCATGAACGAGAAATGCAGAGACTGAACCCACACATACTGATGATATATATAAAACACGACAGTTAACATGAGAACACTAGTTGTGCTTTGGTTCTACCTGAGAAAGATGGGACCCTTTTCAGTGAAGAGACTGCCATGAAGAAGTTCAGAAAGAGGAAATGTTACCAAATACTGCCGCACAAATCCTAGCTATTAGTCTGAATGAACTTTATTTAAAGACAACTCAAAAGAATAAATGCTCTAAACTCTTTTTAATAAATAAAAAACTCAAAAAATGTAAATAAAATAACCACTTAGTTGTGTAAAAAGTGAGTGGTTGGCGTTCATTCATGACATGAAGTTGGTGTATTAGCAGGTCATCGCCCATGACATCACAACTGCTGAGGGTTTTACAGGCCAATCATCATGCGTGATCGCAGATCCGAACCTCACCAGCAAAACCATCATGAAACTCATTTCTACTGTGCATCCTTCTATTAATCTGACAATGCAAAAAGACAACATGCGTTTTGTTGTTATTAGGGATGCATCGATATATATATATATATATATATATATATATAAAAGTTTATAGTCGATAAATCTATGGTGGTTTTTATTATTGTAAACAGGTTTTCTCACTAGAGCAGCCAACCTAAACTTATACATGCTTGAAATCAAGCATAAAAATATTAAAATATGTACAGCAAAATTGATGCATATGTGTTTAGTACTTTTGAAACCTGGCACACTAGAAAAAAAAATTTCATCCATTACTGGCCAAATCAAACCACTGGCAATAGTTTAGATTAATCAATCGTAATGGTGCAACTTCTGCAACGATTCTCAAAAATTTGGTATACAGCTTCTTGTAAACATAATCCTTCAGAAATCATTCTAATATGCTGATTTGCTGCTCAAGAAACATTTATTATTATTATTATCAGTGTTGAAAACAGTTGTGCTGCTTCATATTTTTGCAGAAACCGTGATACATTTTTTTTTCCAGGATTCTTTGATGAATAGAACAGCATTTATTTGAAATATATACTTTTCAACTGAAATGTTATTGGCTGTTGGTGATCATTATTGTGTACTTGTCCAATTCATAATTTTAGAAGACTTCTAAATATGCATTATCCTATATACCAATATGGTCACTGATATATCGTGCATCCCTAGTGTCTGTTTTTGGGGAAGGGTCTCTGGCGATCTGCCAAGCGGGGTTTGCATTAGTGTTTTTGTCAGCTGTTTTAATGCACTGGGCATCAGCGGTACCAGCAATGGCGCCGGAGGGCATGAAGAGAGTGGAGGATGGAGAGAGGAGGGAAGAGGAGGCTCCTGGGAAGGAAGAGAGGGAGGAGGGCTGAGGAAGAGGAAGCTACCACTCGCTCTAACACACACACACACACACACACACAGGCAATGGCTTACCCAGGGTTATACAGCATGACTGTGGAGAGGTTTTCACAGGATTTGGACAGATCAGACATGGATAAGCTCAGACTGGTTAGGAGGCCGCTCTGGAGAACAGGAAGAGCATTAAAGTCACCATGTAATCAAAATTGACAATTCTTATTTATTTTATGGAATATTGCAATTTAAAGGAGCTGTATGTAATAAATTAATTTCAATTAATCATAAAATGGCCCTGAAATGTCACTAGCCATTAAGAAATCATGTACATTTCAAATACTTATATCACTGACAACAGTAGTCCGGCCAGGATATTGTCATTTAAAAAGTGCAGTTGCAGCCCTCAACTGATGTTGATGTTGTCATGTTGTGTTTTGGTCTGATGCTCCACCCTCCACCTATCTACCAATCACGAAGTCAGTAGTGTTGAGGCATCCGGGTTGCCAGCTCTGCTCTAGTTACCACAGCTGCAGCTCGTCACGATCCTGCTGGATCCTGCAGCCGATCTGGCAACCTCGAGTCAGGGGGGAGGGGGAGGGGATACACCACTCTACAGTAATTTGACAGTGATTGCAGTACTAGTTTTGGCCACAATCTTACATACAGCTCCTTTAATATAAATCTGTGCATATCATTATTTTTTAAATTCATATTATATATATATTATAATATTCCGTTGGCTATCAAATAAAACATTTTTTGTATTAATGTACATTTATAATACTTTGTGTTTTATTACCGTGTCATTAAAGTCACCATGAAATCAAAATGGACAATACCTACTTATGTAATATTGCAGTACATCATTCCTTTTACTTTTTTTTTAAATTCATGTGCCTCGTAATCTTTAATCAAAATAACTTCCCCTCCCTCTCGCAGATCATCTCATTTCTTCTCTGATGATGCGTTTACTGGCGTGAGGGCGGGGCCTCCTGTCACTCACATGAGATCCACCAATAGCAAACCACAACCATCCAATCAATTCCCCACGGACTAAATCAAGCCCCGCCCTACATTTGTTCTTATTCAAGCTGCCGTTTCACTTAGACATACGTCACAATAGGGGGAAAAAATGACTATCGCAACATCCGTTTCACGCCGACTTCAACAAACGTGTGTCTAATGCTGAAGTTTCATGTGTGAACTTCTCTCACCTTTCTCTTCTCTCGTAGTTTAGCCGCCTCTTTAGGATGATTAAATCTGAACATATTGGTTCTGCCGAGGAGAATGACAGCACCTGAGAAACACAAACGCACTTATTAAAGTGCTCGAAAGCCACTTAAGCAAAACTACTGTGGGCTATTTTGCACTCTTTCAGACTAGCGGACAAAAAAAAACCAATACACATTTAAGAGCTTATTTTATAACACTTTATCTATCTGTAGGATTCAATTTACAATACAAACTCAAAAAATATCATTCTCACTTAAACTAGTTTTAGTCCTATTTATATTCTGAAGGTTTTTCAGAGGGGATTGTTCATGTATAATTCGCCTGATTTATATTCGCATTTTATTCCTAAAAACATGGTGAAAATGTTTTTTATTTTTATGTTTAATGTATTTTATATTTTCTGGCTGTTGACAGTATTTTCTGATTTATGGAGAGATGAAAAGAAATCTAAAATCTCCTCTGAAAAAAAAATGAAACCTGAATTTTGAGCATAACTTTATCCAATGTTCAGAATTCTGTTCTGAATTATGCAGGTTGGCGAAAAACTGGAGGGACTATATAGTGATGTCTATCGGTTTGGATTTTGACCATATTCACTTGTGGTGCCTTGCCTTAGACAATGAGAATCCTGATTTGATAAGATTGTAGTTTGCAATGTGAGAAAGGGTTATATTATATATGTGACCTTGGTTGAGCTGACAGTTCTCAGTGATCTGAACTCCATTGACCGAACACTGAGCGTCATTCAGAGGAATGAGAGTGACCGTTCCGTTCCGATTCTCTATCAGACAGTGCTCACTCTCCAGACCCAGACCATGAAGAACTACACACACACACAGAGAGAGAGAGAGAGAGAGAGAGAGAGGGGCTTTATGAATGATAATAACAGGGTTGTGCCAATCAAAAATTGCATTTCAATTCAATCTGAAGTTCAATTTAGGCAGCAAACAGGATGCAGAATTATACTTTCAATATTAAGGATATTTAAGGATGGAATTCACATGAAATTTAAAGAAATCTAAATGACATGATATGATGCATAGGATGTTTAAATGGAAACTGAAGGAGAGAGAGTTCAGTCAATGAAAACACATGAGACCGCAAACTCACTGATGTCCGGTTCATTAGTGGCATCATCACGGCCAACGTATGTCCTTCCCTCCTGTAAACAGACACAAGCCAATCACATTCACTCAATACACACTCTACTGTGAACTACAGGCGGATGAATACATTTAGATGCAGTGGCTAAAATTAGAGCTGACCGCACAAACTCTAATGTCCATTACCTTTAAATGATAGAGAATGATGCCGGTGCTGAGAAGATCATCATCAATCCCGATAAGATGAGGAAGCTCGGAGTCCAGGATCACTCCGATTCCCTCCTTCCTCAGAGCAAGAGTTTCTTCCTGTTCAACACACACATCATAAACACTCAACGTCTGGCTCGGTGGATGAGGAGGCAAACATTAGCGCTGGTGTGACAGCTGTGTGATCACTGCAACAAACCTTCAGGATGTTCTGGGTTTCATTCCATTTGTTCGTCCATTCCTTGGTCAGCTCCAACACCTGCGCCAGAAAAACATGCTCAAGACGGTGTGCGTTTCATATCCTGCCAAAGCCTACATTTGATTTCATCACAAGGCATACTGGGCCTATTATAGTCCATTTGATAGAGAATACACAGCGTTTATTACAGGGCTTGACAGTGCAAGAATTTCATTTGCGACTAAAAATAGATGTGGGCAAACTATATATTTGATTATTTACGAGTACTTACAGTAAGTAGTAGTAGGTCCCCATGGGTCTTTAAAAAAAGTCAGTTTTTAAAAAAAAAATTAAGGTCATTAAAGGTCTTAAATATCTTAAATCATTTTAAGAAGTCTTACATTTTGGCCAGGACAGCAGGATTTGTGATATGGCTTAATGTGATAATGATTTCATTAAATAAATGTGAGTGCTGCACGTTCAAAGTGAAAACACATCACTGTTGCACGTTCTACAGGCTCGTGGTTTCAGAGCAGTTCACAATCAATGAACATTTCTGCCAACAGGGGGGACAGATTTACTAAACAGGGACTGTTGCTGATGTTGATGGTCAGTTTTGTGTGTAAATGTATGTTTTTGACCAACATTTTCCACTTCTGATGTCATTTCCAGCGGGAAATGACTACGGTACTAATTAAATATTCGCTTAGTTATCACCAAAGCTCGCTCTATTTTGCCGTAGATCACCAAAATCAGTTTCGTGAGGAACCTTCATGCACAAACGATGCCTAGAAAATCACTTCCTGATAGTCAGCTGCATAAATTTTTAGACGTAGCCTTTATCTCCCTCATATGTTTCAATGATTTCAAAATAAGAGTCCTAGTGTATTTCAGGCTTGTTTATAATTAAAAGTCCCACATTATGCACAACATTTTTTTTTCTGATTATTATTGGTATTTCAGTTACAAAATAAACTGTATCTGGAATTTAATTTGATGTTTAGAATAGAAAATACATCATTTCTATCTTCTGCTGAACACAAAAGAAGCTATTTTGAAGAATGACTGTAACCAAACAGTTGATGGAACTCATTGACTTCCATATTATGGGGAACCATACGTAACCATAAACTATGAAACCTAGTTTGTATTCAAATAAAATAAATAATTAAATTGTAAATCTCTCATCTTATCCATTTATTAAGGAAAAAAATATTATTTGATCAATTAAGTGCACGCAAGTTCTTTATGCTCTCCTAAATTTTTCAAATTAGGTGCATATGTTCTGCTTGGGAAAAAGTAAGCATCAAGCCCTGTATTAGCGAAGGTTTAGCCTACTGTCCAGCACATAATGGACTTGAGCTTATGACAACGAGTACATTTAGAAAGCGCTTCTTCAGTGCGACGGCATCAGCTGCGATTGCAGAGACTGTTCAGGAGCTGTTGCCATGTGATTATGAAAGTGTGTATGTTACCCTGGCTTCATTATGATGCAGTTCCTCCTCCATACTTAACGCTGTGGGGGAATCGAGCAGCGCTATCTGAAAATGACACAATATAATAGCAAATAAAAACAATTAATAAAACTGATACTGAGGTAAGAAATTAAGATTATTAGGCAGTTCCAGTCTAAAGTTAATTAAAAGTTAACTACGTTCTGACCTGAGTTCCCTGCACGAGCAGCGCTTTCAGCCGAACGATCTCCGCCCGCAGTTCTCGGATAAGTCTAACGTTGGAATCTTCATTAATCGTGGGTTTGTTGATGATGTTTTTGGCACGGTTAGCATAGCGCAGAGTGCTCAGCGTCTCACCGTAGTTGACGTCCGCAGGCGATATCGCTGGACAAAGATATTTGCAAATATGGTAAGATCTCACAGTAGGCATATGCCTCAGAAATACTTTATGTATTCATGTTATTATGCAGTTGTTGTTTAAGCTTGGTTCTTTTTGGTTCAAAAGTTTGGGGTCGGTAGGATTTTTTAAAAGAAATTTATAATTTTTTACCCCCAATGATGCATTAAATTTACCAAAAGAGACAGTGAAGATATTTATAATGTTACAAAAACATTTTCACAAATAAAAATGCTGTTCTTTATATTCATCAAAGAATCTTGAAAAAATGTATGACGTTTCCACATAATATGAAGCATCACAACTGTTTTTTCAACATTGATAATAATGAGAAATGTTTCTTGAACATCAAATCATCAAATTAGAATAATTTCTGAAGGATCATGTGACACTGAGTAATGATTATATATATATATATATATATCACAGGAATAAATATAAAAACAAGAAATCAAAACATTTTATAATATATTCAAATAGAAAACAGTTATTTTGAATTTTAATAATATTTCACAGTTTTACTGTTTTTGATCAAATAAATGCAGCCTTGATGAGCAAAAGAGACTTATTTCAAAAATCTTAGCAACCTCAAACTTTTGAACAGCAGTGTTTATCGCATTTATCGCATTATGACTCTAAAAAGGCCAATTTTTTACATGAGATTTAGAAGTGCACATAAGATTGAGTGTCACATGATTGCTCACTCACTAGCGATCATGATGGTTTTTGAGTTTCCTCCCAGACTGTCCTTCAGGAGCCATGTGAGCACCGAGTCTCTGTAAGGAACAAACACCTGCTTCTTCTTCAAATGACTGTTCCCTCCTTCCTGAGACAGATCAGCTTCAAAACACAGAAGGAGCCGTCAGAATACCAATCAACAGAGACTACATTTGTGGCATTTGCACCAGAAGAGCGATAGGGCACAACAGTTCCTCTCACCCAAGGCGGAGATGACGTTTCCCAGAGTGACCAGTGATTTGTTGATGTTGCCGCCCTCTTTGAGCCGGACACCAGTGGCCCCGGTGGCGTCGGCCCTCTCGCTTCCTGCCAGATCCACCAGATGAATCTTACTGATCGTCTCACTCGGCATCTCAGCATCAAACTTAGCCTGAGAAGAAGGGAATAATGACAAAATGTATGATATTACTGCTTTAATAGCATTTACTAGAATCTTGTTTCTTTAGCTGGATGATTCAGCTCATGCAAATGCACATTCTCCGGCAAAGACCCATGTGTCCATGTGTGATGCGTTAGTCACCTGTGTGAAGTTGATGGTGAAGATGGCGTGCGAGCGGCTACTGGTGTCGTTCATGCCGGTGCTGGCTGTGGTGCGGTTGATGTTTCCCGCCTCCATCAGCTCCTCCACATCGCTGTAGTTCTGCACCAGGTGCTTTGACAGGTCTGAAACCAGTGAGGAAGAACTGTCACAACTCACAGGGGCTACAAATACACACACCTTCCAATGCAACTTCAACTGCAATATTGTAATATTTACTCAATATTTACTTAATATTGTAAACTTTACTCAATATTTACTTAATATTGTAAAATGTACTCAATGTTTACTTGATATTGCAAATTGTTGTAAATATTTACTCACCATTTACATGATAATGCAATATTTACATAACGTTTACATGATATTGCAATATTTTTCTAACTATTTAATATGCAGTATTTAAATATTTACTCAATATTTACTTAATATTATAATATTTACTCAATGTTTACTTGATATTATAATATTTACTCAATGTTTACTTAATACTGAAAAATGTAAGAAATATTTACTCAATATTTACATGATAATGCAACATTTACTTAGTTTATGCAGTTTACATAATAATGCAATATTTACTCAATGTTTACATACTATTGCAACATTGACTTTCAATGTTTACTCAGTGTTTATTGTAATATTTACATGTTCACAATCACATGATACTGCAATATTTACTTAAAGGAGCTGTATGTAAGGTTGTGGCCAAAACTAGTACTGCAATCACTGTCAAATTACTGTAGAGTGGTGTATCCCCTCCCCCTCCCCCCTGACTCGAGGTTGCCAGATCGGCTGCAGGATCCAGCAGGATCGTGACGAGCTGCAGCTGTGGTAACTAGAGCAGAGCTGGCAACCCGGATGCCGCAACACTACTGACTTCGTGATTGGTAGATAGGTGGAGGGTGGAGCATCAGACCAAAACACAACATGACAACATCAACATCAGTTGAGGGCTGCAACTGCACTTTTTAAATGACAATATCCTGGCCAGACTACTGTTGTCAGTGATATAAGTATTTGAAATGTACATGATTTCTTAATTTCTAGTGACATTTCAGGGCCATTTTATGATTAATTGAAATACATTTCTTACATACAGCTCCTTTAAAATTCTCTCAAAATTACAATATATTCTCATGTAATATATACAGTATATTGCAATATTTTCTCAATATTTACTTAACATGTTCTTAAAATTCACTTACGATTACAATTTATACTCGTGTAATTTATATTGCGATATTTATACTCAATATTTATTTCATATTTACTTAAACTAGTACTTCAAGCAATGTTTACTTAATTAAACACTACTAAAAGGCTACATGGCTGTTTTGGGTAATGAGTTATTTATATTAATGTTTATTTTTTTTTCTTATTATAGGAGTGTTATCTATAACATATGCATTTTTGCTGTGACACTGAAATCAGTATGCAAATCGAAAAAACTTCATTAGTATTTGGACTACTGAAATTTTACTATTGTGACTATTTGTATGATGTATGCATTGATTTGGTTAAGGTTTGAAGTCCTGGTCTTACCTTCTACATAGGGTCCCTCTTTAGGATGCTCTCTAACTCTGAGGTTATACGTCTTAGCCATCTTTCTCCTCAACAAGTCCCGCACCCGTTCGTTGTAAATCTCCAAATAGCTTCCAGCATAACCAAAATGTAAGAGTAAGAACAGGTTTTCTGTACGCAAACAGCAACTGGTCTACACTTTAAAGACGTAAACATGAAGTGTATCATTTCTGTGCTCCTAGTGGCGCCAAATGCAATTGCAATCTGTTTGTTTGAGTCAGTTGGGGTGGACAGAGCAACACTGGCTAAAACAATGAATGCATGAGTTCGGGACAGGGGACTGCTTGAACACAGTCATATTTATGCACTTCTGTTTGCTACCCTTAATGGTGCACATCACCTTTAAAGAGGACCTGTTATGCTTTCTTATATTTTCAACTTTCTTTAGTGTGTAATGTTTGAGCATGAACAAGATCTGTGAAGTTACAAAGCAAAAAGTCACTCCAAAGGGAGTTATTCCCTATATCAGTGCACACTGTTTCTGAACTCCCTGAAACGCCTCCATTGTAGTCTTGAGTTTTCTTCCGGGAATGAACACGACACAATATTCCTCATTTAAATCATTCCTGCACAAGGCATACGCATATAAAGGGACTTGGTTGAGTTAGTTAGTAGTGTGTTGAAACTCGTGGTTATGGTAAGGGCCGTTACATTTCCCAAACACGCTCGAAGTGATTGACCAATCACAACACACTGATCCAGCCGACCAATCAGAGCACATTGTGCTTTTCAGAAGGAGGAGCTTCATAGAGACAGGAACTAAACAGAGCGTTACTGACAGACTGGGAAGAGAGGTGCTGCAACAATGTCAAATATATGCAAAATAATGTGTTTTTTGAACATTCAAGCATGAAAACCTCTTCTAGTGGACACCAAACTCTAAATCAAGACTTTGTAAAAGGGCATAATAGGACCTCTTTAATTTGTGTCTGTAAGAGTGGCTGTTTATCAATCATGTTTTAGCTATCACACAGCGCTTGATTTTCACACATAACTCAACTTACCTGACTTCCGTACGGAAAGAGGCTTCATCTCTCCGAGTCATTCCTGAAATCCGGCTGAATAATCCTTCACAGATCCGTGGGATCAGCCCGACGTCACCCTACGGCACAGCAAGTCATGATTCAGAGCCAATGTTACACATTCTACAAGCAGTCGAGGGTGAACAATCATTTACTAAAGCATGTTTGAAATGACAAAACCTAAAAAGAAAAGAGCTTGAAGCTTACAGGCATTCCCATCATGGTGTGCGACTTCCCCGATCCAGTCTGGCCATAAGCAAAGATGCAAGCGTTATATCCTTCAAATGCTGCCTTCAACACATCAGTGCCAAGATCCTTAAACACCTGAAAACACACAATTTGCATTGTGATTATGATATTTATTTGGCCATTAAGTCATGTAATTAAACTAGTTGTGTGATCTTTCAAGCAAGTGAGCTTTAAGAGCGATTTCTTTTACATTCTCTTTCATCCAAACAAAGCGACTCATGCTGCATTCAAACGTCTCTGATTCAATAGTCTGTGTTTATCAATCAGTTCAAACTGTGTTTTGCAGTCAACTCTGATTCAACTCTATTCGTTTGTATTGTCGGTAAAAGATAAAAGTAAAAAAAAGAAGGCAATGTCCAGCTCATGCTCTGACAGGAATTTTTAAAAGATCAAACATTTATATCAATAATTTAAACGTGGTTATGTTTTTCCTTGTGTTCATATAGTGAAAACAGCGTGGAAAACATGCATTGATTATTTTTAACTAGATTTTTTTCTTATTTTACTTCTTAAATTCCGTTTTTTGGTTGAAATAGTTTCTTTTTAATTTATTTATTTGTTTGTTTTTAAATTATGCTTAAGCAATTTAAGGGCAAACGCATAAATATCAATCGCCCAGCCTGGGCGCTTACGATTAATTAACAAACTGATGACTGCAAATGACAAACGTTATAGTTCATATTTCCACTGACCTTCTCCTGTGACACAAAGCTGCCGTTTTTACCGTCCGACGAGTCGTAAGAGAAATCATATGTGAAGGTCTTTGCTCTCTCTCTTACAGAGTCTCCAGTCACTCCATCTGGTATCTGACGTAAAAAAACAACAACAACAACACAATAATAAGCATAAAAATGATACTTTCTGTGGAACTCAATCATTTAGAGTCGCTTAATACAACATACTTTTAAGTTGGTGATCGTGGTCTTGTTGCCTTCCATTTCGATGATGAATTTGGCAGACAGGTCTTTCTCCCTGGGCCAAAAATCAATAATACATAAATAAACCATATTTATGCACTTCATTTATTATTGACAGTGTAAATCTGCACTGTGTAAAAAAATGGATTTCTGGTAATCGCGTGTTCACGGATTTTTATTTTGTTTTAATTCAATGATATTTTTATTTTTAGTACTAAATTGTATTTATGCAATAGTTTACTGCAGATTATTTATTGATGAAGTGAAAAAAAGTTTTTAAAAAGTGAACTTCAAAAAAGTTGTAATTTTTTTTTTTACATTTATTGTAATGAAAAATGCACAAAAATACAATTTTTAATTGTTATATGATATATATTTTCCAATAGTCTCTCATTCATTTCCAATGCGAATTCATTTTTGACCGCGAACAATAAAAGTGTGACTATTTGTTTTCAGGACCATTTAACCTTTGTTGTCAATGATTTTTTATTTTATTTTATACAAGTGCTAAAACCTTTACAAAGTTTTTGTTACTATAGTATTTGTATACTATATAGTATTTATATACTATAGTATTTGTATATTATATATATAGTATTTTTTGTATATTATATTATTATAATGTACTGTCAAATCGATTAATCGTGTCTAATCGCATCTAACATAAAAATGTATAAATATATAAAAATGTGTGTGTGTGTGTACAGTATACACATACACATATATACACAAACTTTTATGTTAGATGCGATTAATCGATTTGAGCGCACTATAATTGACAAAAGATAAACAAAACAACAACAATAAACAAAACTTATAAGAGAATTGGGCAATTTTAATCCGGTTCACTTTTTGATCTCTTTGGTTCTTTTAAATACACTCCAGTGACAAATCACACCTCTCAGCCTAATAAGACAGCATTATGGACATGCTGACTCTGACCGTGAGTGTGACGCACACAGATGAGGTCAGAGTCACGGCGCAGCGGGGAACCATCCGCTCAGAGACAGTCAGGTTCGTATCTGGCCTGCGTCATGTACACTTCCCAATGGACAAAAATAATCATAACAATAATAATAAAATTGAAATAAATAATTAAACGGAATATTAATATTGTTTATATTATTAATGCTAAAAATAAATACAGCTAACTAACGTTGGGTTTAATACTTGTGCTTCACTGACACTGTCATGTATTTCACTCCCCAGCTGTTGCGACATTTACTAGGACATGTTAATGTGCAGGTTTATTAGTTTATTAGTGTGTTTGAAACCTACTCACCGTCTGTTCATGGGCCGGACCCGCACTGCCACCCGAACCGATGCCATGACACATCCCTGAGGATCAGAACCACCACACACACTCACTTCAGTCACTTCTCATGGGTGACTGGCACACACTACTGTAACCGGCTCCGGGTGATGGGACTCTATCCGCGTAAAAACAGATCAATCTGTCCGTGAGAGGAGCCGATAACAATCGTCTAGTATTCACTCAACTGTCATCATGTAAAAAAGCGTATGTGTCCGACGCTGTTGTTTGGTTCGTATTGTTTTCCCGGAGTGATTCTCAACGTCCTGCTCTTTGCTGGCTGTAGGGCGGCATACAAAACACATATGAGACGCGGTACTGCCACCTGCCGGCCTGGAGTTATCAGGGTTTATGCCGGGGACAAGAACACATCCGAAAACCTAGGCTGCTGACTTGTTTGTTTCCTCGCTTCCTTATCAGGTAGTGACTTTGTTTGCGCATGAAGGTACCTCAGTCGCGAAACTGGTTTCGAACAGTCATTTTTCGCTTGTAATGACAAAAATATATACATTAAAAAATGTAATAACTAGGCTACAATAGTTATTTCTCGCTAGTATTGACATCAGAAGTGGAAAATGTTGATCAAAAATGTACAAACGCCATCTTTATTTTATTTTCAGCTCCTGAAACTGAAAGTAGCCTATAGGATTGTGGGATATCAAAAGCAGTGAAGGATCCTTCAAAAATCAACCAGGTGTCTTCAGGACACAGAAAGTGAAGCCAACATTGGATTGGGACGTGCCTTGATGCTCTCCAAAGGCAGCATTTTTAACATTTCGGGTCGCAGCCATGATGTGATGATAAATGTAAATGAATTAATGTACTTTAGAACAAAAACACCTGTTATAATAATACAAATAATGCATACAAATAGGCTACAAATAATAATAGAAATATGAGGTTATCGGCTAACATGACCATTACAAATATATACATTTATTATTAGAATAACACATAGGCTACATATTAGTACAGAATATATAAATACAACATAAATGGAAAAACTTTAATAATAAAATAAACAAAACATAATAAATTACCATAATATATTACATATAGCCTAAATAAAGTGCTGTAGACATGCACATGTGAGACTTGTCAATGAATTGCTAGCTTGTGGAAAAAGCTTTATTTATTTGACATTTTTTTGTTTAGTGCAACAACAACAACAAAAAAACATTTTAATAGCCAAATTTTCCTAGTCCTCTACAGAAACGAATACGTAACAATGGGGATGTGGATTCGTTTTATTAATTCATTTATATTTTCATGATGATGATTATGATGATGAAGATCTGCTTTTGTCTATATGGTCATATGCTATTTTAATCTTCCCTGCTCTAGTCTATTCTACTTTAGTCTTTATAGGTTAGCATTTAATCCAATAATAACAGTGTGTTCATTAGTTGGGTCGTGTACCTTCGTGTAATTAGACCAATAACAACCTTAACCTGATTTATCTAATCTATGATTTATCCCAAGTCAGGTCACATCTTCTAGTCAATGTTGAAATTATTTTATACCATTATACCTTCACTGAATCCCAGGCTGAAAATCTTGTTTCTATTCTATTCTATTCTATTCTATTCTATTCTATTCTATTCTATTCTATTCTATTCTATTCTATTCTATTCTATTCTAAAACCTCTGTGGCAGGTTGCCTCTTTTCTCTAACTTTATTCATTGAGGGCACAATGTGAGGCATTAGATTATAGCACCTTATAATGAATAAGATATTTGACACATTTTTAACATACAATCACTAATGAATTAAATATGTATTTATCAATGTTGTTATTCTTAACTAATCCTATTAAAATTAGTTTTTCTTATTGAAACAAAGCTGCAATAAAATAACATATAAATACTAGAAGAAAACCCCAAATAAAAGGGTAAATTTGAAGTACTTAAAATACTAAAACTGTAATAAAAAATAAAGCCAAATATAAAAAAAAAAAAATTAAATGTCAGAAGCACATAACAAAATGATTAAAACTTAAACTAAAATTAAAAATGAAAGCTAATTCAAAATATGAATAAATACTACAATGGTATTATATATAATATAATATGCTATAATATGAATAATACTAAAATAACACTGTTTTTTATTCAATCAAGATGTATCAATAAGGACAGACAAAAAAATAATGACATTATTAAATGTCTTTATTTTCTAAATAGCAAATGAAACATTAACTTTACAAATGAATTCTTTAGTTATGGATCTCTCTAGACGTTACATTCAGAAGAAAAAAAATAATTTGTGAAATTGTAGTGAAACATATTGTTGCTTCTCCCCACTGACCGCCCACAGGAATGATGCCTCCTCGGATGCCATCCTGAATCCATTCATGCTGTCCCGGGGCTTAAACTTAAACAACATGAGGATAATATCAGCTCTATTAGTTGTTACTTTTCTTCAGTAGCACTGACAGAGCCAGCAGACACTCTTAACATCAGCTCCTACACACATGAACTGACTCTACAGAGTTATAAAGCAATTCCATTACGAGCCATTAGAGCTGAAGTGCTCCTGCATAACTGTTCTTGCTTCAGTTTTTTAAAGTGCCCATTCGCTGATCCTGGATTTTTTTCCCACAGTTCATAGCCAGAGTCGCTACAGCGTAAGAGGAGAGGATGACGATGGCGGAGCCCACGAAATGTGAGGATGCCCCGCGAACCGGGACCTTTAGGGCTCTCCGTGGTACGGATCCTTCTGCGCGAGGTAACGTATGCGACACAGACTCCATGATTCCCGCCAGTTCACCTATAGCTCTTCCTTCGGGAGAGTTAAAGGTACTGAAGTTGAATAGCTTCACAGGCTTGAATTGAGTGTAATATCAGTCAAGTTTCAGGCTCCACTGAGACACACGTCCATTCATGAGGTCTGTGTCCCTTCCTTTATAACCCTCGCCCCATCCCGCCCTCATGACACGCACCAAATCCCTAAATTAGTCTGTGTGCGTCAATGGGATGTGGCACAGATAGCCCAGCAGAGGTCAGCTAAACCGGGATAGCACAGTCAGACACGTCTGAGTTTAATTCTTTTAAGGGAGGCTCTGTAATACAGAGAAGGGATTTGAGCGACGGGAAGTCTCACACTAACACTATTAAGAGGCTTTCGCAACGGGACGTTATAAGAACTAAAGTTATAGGTCCCCCAAGGACAAAATATTTTACCTTAGGGCCATTTTTCCTGGTTGCATTCGGTTTCTGCGGTGTGAACATGCCAAAAAGTAGTTATGAGAACTGTGAAAACGTTCTTCCGGTGCGAAAGTTCATTGAGCCTATAAAGAATGTGACAGAAACCACTGACCTTAAAGGGATAGTTCACCCCAAAATGAAAACTCTGTCAGTAATTACTCTCCCTCATGTTGTTCCAACCCCGTAAGACTTTCGTTCATCTTCGGAACACAAATTAAGATATTTTTGATGAAATCTGAGAGCTGGATCACTCCTCCATAGGCTTCTTAAGGGATCGAAACTGACCGGCCCAAAAGTTATTAAAGACATCGTTAAAATAGTCCGAGTGACTACAGTGGCTCAATCTTAAGTTTATCAAGCGACGAGAATAGCTTGTTTTCATATGACGTCACGCCACTGCGTTGCCATGGTGCGAAATGCAAATGGAGGGCAGGAAGTGATTTGCTGTATTTAGAAAGCTCTATAACAAACTCAAAATGCCTATGTTTTGCGTCGTTTATGGTTATTTAAATCGATCAAACCACGAGGAGTTTTTATCGTGTACCAAAAGTTGTTGTTCATAAGGGGGGAAAATGCAAGAAATTGACTGAAAAACTCTGTGAAAACCGCTTGCAAACCTAACTTAGCCTACGTCTGCGGTCGGGAGGAGCCGAATGGGAAAATGCCTGTGTGTGCAGTGATCACTTCGTCAAAGGGGAGTTAATACAACTTAAGTGGCTATGTTTGTGTAACATGTAAGTTAACGTGCAACGTTTCCAAACTTTGTAAAGTCAAAGTATGTCTGTAAGACGAGGTAGTTGCTGATATCTACCGCCTCGATGGCAGGAAAATCTTTCAATTTAGTTGAAAAATCGCTCCTCTTCATAACGTAAGGATCACGTCCAACATATGTTTGATTTTTTGTTTATATCTTTCTCTTGTAATAGCGTGTAAAGTAGTACAGTACGGACTTTCCTCCATCTCGTCCATTGCGCTCTTCACTCCCTGCCCTCCATCTGAATTTCGCGCGTCATCATAATCACGTGACTGAAACCCAGCTATACTTTTTGTGCGCAAAAACAAACAAAAATAACGACTTTATTCAACTATTCATTTCCTTCTCTGTGGGCCTCGAGATTTCACGTAGTGAAACTGCGCAAAGCTTCTGTGTTGCACGTCACACGCAGGCTCACTATTGGCTGACGCTGGTCATGTGTGTGATGCGTGACGTGCAACACAGAAGCTTTGCGTAGTTTCACTACGTGAAATCTCGAGGCCCACAGAGAAGGAAATGAATAGTTGAATAAAGTCGTTATTTTTGTTTGTTTTTGCGCACAAAAAGTATTCTCGTCGCTTGATAAACTTAAGATTGAGCCACTGTAGTCACTCGGACTATTTTAACGATGTCTTTAATAACTTTTGGGCCGGTCAGTTTCGATCCCTTAAGAAGCCGGAGGAGTGATCCAGCTCTCAGATTAGAGTTTTCATTTTGGGGTGAATTAACCCTTTAAAGGGGACCTATTATGCCCCTTTTTTCACAAGATGTAATATAAGTCTCTAGTTTCCCAGAATGTGTCTGTGAAGTTTCAGCTCAAAATACCCTCACATATAATTTATTATAGCTTGTCAAATTTCCCCCCGATTTGGGTGTGAGCAAAAACACGCCGTTCTTGTATGTGTCCCTTTAAATGCAAATGAGCTGCTGGTCCTTTCCAGAAGAGGGCGGAGCCTTTACAGCTCGTGCTTCAGATCCTCCAGCGACAGCAAAACTGAAGAATCTCACGCGGCCAAAAAGTCAGAAATTGTCCGTAGCGGTGTTCAGCATCACATGTTTGAACCGGAGTCGGAAACTGATGGAGAGACTCAGGAAGAAGTTACAACTTTTAGGTGCAATAACTAAACAAAAACAATTTATTCATGCCTTAACACTTGAATGTAACTCTACACCAGTGCTTCTCAAAGTCCGGACTCCGGTCCGGATCCGGACCCGGAGGGAATTCAATCCGGACCCGCCTCCATTTCGTATTTCAAGAGCCCTAATTGTGTGTAAGGGATTAAAAGTCTGGATTTCCTATTTTGATAAACGCATGTTAAAATCATTT